ACTTTTGTTGATGTCCGTAATAAGACAGGACTTCTCATTATCAAATGTGGTATTACATGTATACATATATCCATAGGTTCATAGTGATTATTTTATCCAGATTTTAATATCTGCATGTAACGTTAGTTCCGATGTTGAAAAGAAAGCAGAGAAGAGTGTTGCGCTATGTGGAAGAGGGGAGTTTGATGAAGTTAAAGTCATTCCTTCGTAAACACAAAGATCTGGAGCTGAACTTCACCCAGGGGAAGAAGCACAGAGGTCCTTTACACATTGTCTGTTCTCACGGGGATGATGCAATTCTCAGACTGCTGCTGAAACATGGAGCAGATCCCCTGCAAACCGACCGGAATGGAGAAACACCGCTACATCTGGCCGCAAAAAGAGCACTCAAACATGGCAAAAGAGGTATGAGACTGTGCTCTGTAATATCCCAAAAACTATTTTTCTTATCTGTGTTTAATGCTGTTCACATTATCAATCGCAGCTTATGATGACCTGGTGGTGCCATTACGAAAAAACTGTCCAGAAGCCATGGATATTCCCAATAAAGCAGGAGTGACTCCTCAGGACCTGCTCCAGTGGATGAAGCCCGAGCAGGTGCTGTGCAAATACAGACTCTAAACTAATGAACGAATGGTTTAGTTATATTTAGAATAGATTGTGCTGTCATGTTGAGGTATGCATCTTCATGCAAGTTCATGATATGTTCCATATTAATTTAATTGACACAGGAGAATGTCAAAAATGAATCCTCAAATGTTGATCCAGAGCAACAATGGAGAGAGAAGCTGTTAGGCGAATGCCAGGAAGAGTTTTTTGAGACATATGGACAGTATGATGGTAAGCTGTTTGTTCTTGTACATCCTGCACTAATACATTATATATTTTTGAAGTGGCTGGTTATCATACATATCACAGTTATTTATAAAATAATAATTCAGTTGGTTTAAAATGGGTATGATATTTTTTTTTTTTTTGAAGAAAAGTTTCAATTTAATGACTAAAAATGTAATTTGGTATTACCACCAATCTATAAAATAACACATTCTCCTTATACCTTCAATACATGTATAATCGTTAGTGTACACATTGTAATCGTTAGATACAATACATTAGATTTAGGGTATAATTTATTATTATTATTAATTAATAAATATGTCTGTGGAGTCGCACAGCTTGACAGTTCACAGGCTGCTGAAATGATCTGATCTGAACTTATTGATCTTGACACACAGTCATGAAGGTCTACAGGTGTTTTCTCTATGACATAATTTCCTATTTTTAGGCATTTTGTGTGCACCACAAGACTTTCATTTTGTGGACATATTTGAAAATATTAACAAGCAGGTCTATTTTAAGAAATGGTTCTTAACAATTATGCCAAATTTCTTAACATTTTCTTGTTAATAATTGTATTCTATTAGTGAGACTTTTTTCCCTTCATTATGCCTCTTCACATTTACTTTATTCCCCCCCCAAAAAAAACATTTAATACAGAAATGAAAAAACATGCTCATCTTAGATAAGGTGTATTTAAGTCAATGCATTGCATATTTATTGTACGTTTGAATAAAATTAGCAATAATGTTGTTAATTAATAAATATTTGTTAATTACTTTAATTTAACAAAAAATGAGCAACATCAATTGATTCTCATTTGCTAGATGTAAAGTTTTGTGAAGGAGGGCCACTGGAATGGAGCCTTTGAGCTGTGTTTATGATCACTGTGATATAGTGGTTTCCCATTTGCTTTACAGTGACTGTAAAATAGGTATTTTAGGTGTGGGAATGGCATATTTCGAGATTTGATATTTGGGATTATGGGATATGGTAATCGGGCTACTTTTGGTTGGCCATTGGGCTAGTTTTGTTTACGCAAACCTGGCAACTCTACCTTACAGTAAGTAGTCTCATGTACATAAAGTGATCAATATGCATCAGACAGTCAGTGAACGGATTGGGCTGATAAAATATTGTATGAATATCTCCCTGTTCGTTCCAGGTGATTTCTTAAGGGATGACAAAGATGATGAAGACTTCGGGGGCTGGGCGGATCGGATCAGGCGAGAGTATTTTACTAAGCAACGGGCCAGAGAACAGAGAGAAGCGGCTTCTGTAGGACACAAGAGCAAGAGGTCAAAGGGGCGTAAGGAGACGGAGGAAGATGAGAAGAGCCGTAAGGATCTGCAAGCCCGTCTGGAGCGTGAGCACGAGGAGTACCTGCAGCGGGCCGCTCGCAAGGAGGAGGAGACGCGGCAGGGGAGGAAGAGGCGCTACGAGGAGCGCTGTGCCGCCACGTTCAACAGCTCCTCCAGCAAGGCACCTGAGGGACTGCTGGGATATGAGGACATCCCGTGGCCCGCTCCTCGCGGGTCGCTGCAGGACATGGTGGGCGTTATGTTGCACGGTGCTGACCGGTCTGATTTATCCACTTTCCGGAAGGTGCTCCGTCGGCAGCAGGCCCTCTGGCACCCGGATAAGTTTTTCCAGCGCTGTGGGAGCCGTCTGGTGGACTCTGATAGGAAAAAGATCCTGGACACAGTCACTGGCCTCTCACAGGAGCTCAACAGACTCGCACAAAACCTCCGATGACGTCGATTCACTGCTTCCAATCAGTTTCATTTTCGAGCTTGCATGTGATTAAGACACCTTTTAAACCAATGAAAAATAAATTCTATCTCAACCTAATTCAGTTCTGTAATGGTTCAGTTGCTTTATGGATGTAAGGGTGGCTGAGCGAGGAGGGATGTTTTCTACTGTAATTCATTACTTGAAAAATAATATTGCAAACAGATATTGTGAGAATATCATACAAGATGGGTAAAACAAATCTTAACTGAATTCATCATGGTTTATAGTCTCACAAAAAATCTTGAAATTTCAATATTCAACATATTCATTTTTTATAAAAAGCAAATACAATGGAAATTTTTCAAAATATTTACTGATCATGATTCATCTAGAGATCGGTATAAATTAAAGGTTTTTTTAACCATTTAAAAACCTTTGTTAATTGAAATAAAGCTAAAATAAGATATAAATATTAGCAGAAAAACTGAAATGTTGCCTAGGCAATAATCTGAAATAATATTAAGTTGAAGCACTGAAATTATTAACTGGAAATTAATAAAAACTGAAATAAAAATAAATTAAACCTAAATAGCAATATATATATATATATATATATATATATATATATATATATATATATATATATATATATATATATATATAAATAAATAAAATAGAAAAATGAAGTGACAAAAACACATAACGAAATTAGTAAAAAATTAAGCTAAAATGAACATAACTAAAAATATAGATTTTAAATTCTAATATTCTTTACCTGGTTTGTAAAATGAACCATTTTGACCTAAATAGATGCTGATACATTATACTCTTGTAAAATATAATTTCTATAGTTATTTTATTATATTTATTATATGATGGAAAGTAATGAGGGTTGGACTATATTTCAAACTAATACCGTCAGTACAAGTTGCATGTAGTATAACGAAACTCTACATTTCTCAGCTATTACGACTTCTAGCATTTTCCAGTGATAAATATCAGAAGAATTCGTGGAACATAAGAGTAAGTAAAATTGTGGTGTACTACAAGGTGCAAGTATTTACTATGAGGTGGAGTACAATGGACTGAATGATGTTACTGTCACATCAGGACCTTTACAATCTCAACACATCTTTTACTTGTTCATCATATTGCACTGTTGGTGTTATTACTTGAGAAATTTAAACAAAGGTTTGTTTTCCCCTATAAATCTTTTCATTTTCAGGCATTTAAACAAAGGACAGGCAGATGGCGTGCCTTTGGTCAAGAATACGCCACAGAATATATTAAATGAGAATATGGTTGCCAGATTGCAGAAAAACCCTAACCTGCTTGCCAAACAATCAAGATATTAGGCGATGTGAAGTACACAATTTAGGATTTATTATTGGTAGATCTGGCAGATATATGTTCTAACTCTTTAAAAAAAAAATAATAATAAAAAAAAAAACAGCCAGTGCGACAATTTGTTTTTATAAGTGGCCATTTAAATAGATACAATCAAGCCGGGATCACTGGGAGAATAAGTAGAACAACTTCACGTTTTTAAATAATCAATAGCCTACAGAGGCATTTCATAATAAAGTCATTATAATTGTATTAAATATAGTTACACTTGATGAAACATGGAGTGATTTAACAAACTAAAAATAAATTATTAGACACATCATGGAATGTTGCAATAAATAAAAGCACAATTAAATAATCATTAATAAGGTGTGAAATACAGGTATTTTAATATATTTATTTAATTTATATTAATTTAATTCATTCTGTTAAATCGTCGGATTCTTAGGAAGCTTTTTAAGACTATACATTTTAAAAATCGTTTTTTGTAAGAGAACAGTTTTCTAAATCATATAGTAAAATATTACTATATATTTTTGCTATGTTTCTATTTTTCAAAACAATAAATAATTCGTTTTCAAAGTTTAAAATGTTTTCGTAAATCGAAGAAGGGGGATTTGTTAAGGAAGTATCTGGCAACCCATGGGCGCAATCTGTAACACCGGCAGGGTTTGTGCTTTACCGGAGTGATCTTTTTATAATGCGATTTATTTCAACATCAAGGCTTCCTTGCATTCGTACATTTTAAATCTAGATAGTGTTTAGTTGTTTGTATGTCGACACTCCTTCAGTAGTCTTAAATCTCTCACGCTATTTCTGTCGTTTCAATGGCAAGACGACAATTAAAGGTACAGACTCCTATCGATTATTATTGTCCAGCCAGCTAGGTAAGACACTTTTAGAATATTATTTACATCTGCAGTTTAATTTGTAGTAAATGCACACTTTTCATGAGAATGCCGAGAATATTCACTAGGTTGCTAAAAATAGTATTTATAGGTTAATCATTTTAGGTAGCTACAATTTAATCCCATCCCGGCTCATTCAGACATAAAATCTTCAGTTATTCAGAATGCGTGCTTAACAAGTCAATTTTGTCCGATTGAATGCGATTTGAGTTGAACACTTGACGTTCGCAAAGTGAATCGCAAAGGCCAGAGGCGGATTGAGTGCTCAAGGTGGCCGAGAGAGGAGAGAGAAGATGGGCTCGGGCTTTCGCAGTGAGGAGATGTGCTTGGCGCAGCTGTTCCTGCAGTCCGGCTCGGCGTACGACTGCATCAGTGAACTGGGAGAAATGGGACTGGTCGAATTTCGAGATGTAAGTTTGGACTCAGCGCCTGTGTGTCAAAACCTAGTGAGCTGCCTACCTTCTGGATACCAAAACTGCTGCCTAGGGAGCCACAACCTTTATTCTCAGAGCAGACAGATATGAGTGAACTGACCTTAAATTATCGGTGTTACCTGGCTACCCTTATTTGTTTCCTGCCTGTTATGCGTTTTGAAGCGCATGTTAAAGTGTGCACACATTTTGGCCTGGTCAGACAGAGGCCGATGTGTGCAGCCAGGTTAAATGGTTAGTTCACCCAAAAACGTCATCATTTACTCACCCTCATGTTGTTCCAAACCACTATGCATTTCTTCTGCTGAACACAAAAGAAGATATTTCGAAGATTGTCTGTAACCAAACAGGTAACGTTAGCCATTGAGTGTTTCTTTTTTTCATATATGTAAGTCAATGGCTACTATCAACTGTCTGTCTGGTTACCAACATTCTTCAAAATATCTTCTTTTGTGTTCAACAGAAGAAAGAAACTCATACAGGTTTGGAACAACATGATGGTGAGTAAATGATGATAGGATTTTCATTTTTGGGTGAACTATCCCTTTAATGTCCTGGTTACAGCTGATGAGCTGGATCAATTACTTGTTAAAAAACAGAGCAAGTCTGGTTATAAAAGCCTGTGTTTTCTATTCAGCCCGAGGGTGTTTGACACTCATTAACAACTTCATGTAGGCCGTGTTTTGGTCATGTATGTGTGTGACCTACTGTTTGGTTGGCAACAGTCAGGGTAGTCCGCATAAAATAATTTTGAGATTTTTCGTTTTAGATAAAATTGTGCTAATTCTTTAATTATGCATGCAGTTTATGTATTTGTTACATTTTAAAATTAAGCGTGTTGTTGCTGTTAACTAAAACTATTAAAAATAATTTTTAACAATTTAAATAAAGCTAAAATAAAAAATATTAGTCGAAAAATACATAATAGAAATATTGCCTTGGCACCTATAACTGGAATAAGATAAGGTAAAGTACTAAAATTGCCTAAACTAAAACTGAAATATAGTTGAACCAAATCTAATTAGGAATATTAAAGGCACATAACAATAATTGGAGTTACTTCCCCCTTAAATGAAAAATCTGTCATCATCACTCACTCATGTTGTTCCAAACCCATAAGGCTTTCGTTCATCTTCGGAACACAAATGAGAGATTTCTGTCCCTCCGTTGACAGCTACACAACTACCACTTTGACGCTTCAAAAGGTTCATAAAGAGATTGTAAAACTAATCCATATGAATTGTGAGGCTTAGTCCAAATTTTCTGAAGAGACACGATCCCTTTATATGATGAACATGCTTTTACTAAACTTAAACTATAATTAAAATGAAAATATAAAAATGAAACCTAATTAAAATGATTAATAAATAAATACTATAATATTATATAATTAATACTAACATATCACTAGTTCTGAGAGATACCATTCTTGTATGCAGTTGTATGAATTTTAATCTAAAGTGTGGATGTTGATAGTCCAAGAATTAGTTGTTTTTTCATCCTTAAACAGAATTGTTTACTCATCTTCATGTTGTTCCAAAATCATATGACTTATTTTCTTCTGTAATACAAAAGAATATTTTTTTTAAAAATCATTCTTCAATAAAAATGAGAAGATTGGGGCTGTAAAGCTCCAAAATGAAATAAATAAATAAATAAATCATTCAAAAGTACACATTCTTTCCCAAGTCTTCTGATAGCTTTGTGTGAGGAAAAAACCATGTAAGATATTATTAAATTATCATTTTATCTAATCTCAGCTAAATGAATCAACTCCTTTAAATCAGAACTACTCAGTGAATCGATCGATCCAACTCATAACCGGTCGGAATGATTCATTCACAAAACTCGCTGATTCAGTGGATCTGGCTGGTTACCAGCTCACTAGTGTAACACAAAACAATCATATGTCTTCACAAGACTTTAAATATAGTTCATGAGTTGAGTAAACCACATTCATATTATGTTGATTTTTGTCCTTTTTGAAAAGCTCCATTCCTCATCCATCGCAATGAAGCTGTCAGTCAATGTAATTCCTGTTAATCCACATATGGGACCTGATCATCACCCAATGCTGCAATCTCTAAATGACCAAATATCATTTGATTAATGTAATGCTCACAGCCTTGTCTTGTTGCCTCTAGATTGTAATATTTTGAAATGTCAAACACATAAGTCACAATCTGACCTGTTCCAGCTCAACCCCAGCGTCAGCTCCTTCCAGCGCCGCTTCGTCAGTGAGATCAAGAGATGTGAGGAGATGGAGAGGATTCTGGGTAAGGGATCTTTATTGAGCACTCTGTACATTTTAGATCAAGCTCTCAACCTCTCCAGCAGAGGCTATTTGAACTTCAAAATATATCTGTTAGAGTGCTAACAAATAGGCTACAATTACTTTCCTTTATTTTGCAAAACATTTCCTTCCATCTTATCCTTAATAGTATGTTGCTCAAACCCATAAAGTTAAAATGAAGAAGATCAAAAACAGTATTTACACTGCAGTCACAGAACAGACTATTTTTGTACATTAGAACAGTATTTGTTCTGAATTTAGCTTTTTTCATCTGAATTGTGTTCCTATAAAAATGGTAAATGTGTTGGTGTGCTTTCTGTTGTTGTTGTAAGAGTATGTGATGTGTGTTTAAAGCACCGTTTCTTTGTCTCCGGCACCTATAGGGTATCTGCTGAGAGAAATTAGGAAGGCTAATATTGCAGTGCCAGAGGCTGAAGTCCCTCCTGTTGCTCCTGCACCCAAAAATGTCTTAGAGATCATGGTAGGTGCTGAGATATACAGATATTGACTTTTAGTAGACAAGGTGAATGTGCCAAACAGGGCTTTTCTATTTCATAAATAGTATCTTGGGTCTGAGTTCAGTTAATGCCGTTAAGTTGAATTTTCACTGGCGAAATCCAGTGAACGAAACGAAAGGTTTCCACATGCAGATTTCACAACGGCCAGATTTCGCCACGTTCACCAACAGAAAGCTGCTTGGTTTGATAGTGACTTCTGTGTGAGCAGTGCTTCATACATCAATACACTACTGACAGTAGACAGTTGGCGTTTTATGAGTTAGAGCTGCGATTAATTGATAAAAGATTGTGATCTCGATTCAAACATCAACACCATCTTATTCCTAAATGACAACAATTCTATTAAACCTTTGAAAATAATCACACCGGAACATTTAAATCTGCTTTCTGATCCGGAGAGAGCAGTTATCATTCATGTATAGGTATGAAACAGCTTCACAAACATTCTTTTCAACCACTCAGTATCATTATTTCTGTTACAAACATTCATATTATCACAGAAGAACTGGGATAAAAGTTTATAGTTCAGATATAAACATTGATATTTACGGTAGCGATCGAAAAAGCAAAACACCGATTACATCGTTACACCAGTAGGTGGCGACAAGTGACTGTTGAAAATGTATTTGTCATTGAATCATTCATTCAAGAGATTCGTTCAAAAACCGATTCATCCAGTGATGAAACAAGTGGGCTGTGTCTGAAATCGCCTCCGAAATGTTCCCTATAGGGGACAGTCATTTGAAATGGTGTCCAAAACCATAGTGGACGTTATTGAGTGCACTCATTCAATCCCATAATGAACCGCAATAACGAGTATACAACTAATGTACAGTCAACGGCTAGAGAATACCCATAATGCACTTTGATGGTCGCATCGAATGAATTCCTGAGTCTGATGTGAGTGTAAATTTCACTATTGTGATGCTGCTTGAAACATCATATAAATATTGCATCATATAGGCCTAACATAATGTTCAAGGCATTTAAGGTTATAGACCCCTAAAAAGGAAGGACAGTTTTGTTGAATTACAGAGCGTATAATTTTGGTTAAATGGCCATGTGGTCGGTGGTTTGTAGTAATTGATTGTATATGAGAGCATCAAGACCCAGTGCTGGTAATTGACCGTGTCAAGTTGCCAAGAGTGAGTGATTGTGTGCGATGTGGTGAGAGAAAGCTTCCGGTGAATGGAGGGAATTGATTATGCATGACAGATTCATCACTGTTTATTTATAGTAATATTCCCATGACTTTTTATAATGGCCTGTTTAGTGCGCTAAGTATTGTTTTTGGGTAGTATTATTTGCTGAGTTTTATTGATTGGTGTGTCTTGTTTCGGAGACCTTTATAAGTATTGATTGTGTAAGCATGATGTGTTTTAACATGACTGATGGAAAGTCATTGGCTGTTGTCAGGAGCAACTGCAGCGGCTGGAGGTGGAGCTCAGCGAAGTGGCCAAGAATAAAGAGAAGCTCCAGAGGAACCTGCTGGAGCTGACGGAGTACACACACATGCTGAGGATCACACACACGTTCATGCACAGCCGCTCCAGGGTGCGTCCCGTTCACTCGTTCAACACTCATTATTAATGTGGCCTATTCGACATGTTCAGTGACTTAAAGTCCTGTTGTTGTGAGTATACGGTGAGCAGACACAGCCTGAGAGTCACGTGATGTTTATGTTGGAAAAACATATCACAAGCCCAATTTTCTGTGAGAAGATCAGCTTGGATCAAATCCTATCTGTGTTATATTTGCCTTGGAAATGTTAGCTTTCCTTTATGTAAATGTTCTAAGGTTGGCCAGCGAGGGTTTCATTATCTATAAAGTAGTGTGCCAGATGTTCAAAATATATATATATATATATATACATATATATATATATATATATATATATATATATATATATATATGTATATGTATATATATATATATATATATACATATACATATACATATATATATATATATATATATATATATATATATATATATATATATAATGGATTGATAGCAAATGAGGTGCTTAAAAAAATCTTTTTTTTTTACAGTTTTAATTGATACAATACAATTTAAAGCAAATAAGCTGCTGAAATTTAAAATATATATTTTTATTATTATTTTATTAACATTATTTTATTAACAATAATATAATATTATTATATTATTATTTTACACAATATTTTTTACATTTTGCAGAATTCTCTAAAATGTGATATAATAATTTAAAAAACAAATAAGTTGAAACAATTGCTGAACATTTGAAAATAAAATAGTTTTTAATACAAATACTTTCATTATTTTAATCAGTTTATTAAAAGCAAATGAGATTACCAAAAATTACTTGATGCATTTTAATAAGCAATTAAAAAAGACTTGTTTTACACAATATTTTCTGTAATATTTTACAGAATTAAAATAAAATATGATATAATGATAGTACAACTTAAAAGTATGAACAAAAATGTTGATTTTTGTTTTTTGATATTTTCATTTATATATGTATAAATTAGTGGTCAAATTGATTAATCGCATCTAACATAACAGTTTGTAAATATAATATATATATATTTATATATATATATATATATATATTATTATTATTATATATTTTTTTTTACAAACTTTGATTAATAGATTTGACAGCACTAGAATAAATAAATATAAACATTTAAAACCATTTGCATGGCTGTTGTTACATTTTGAGATAAAACACAATTCTGTTAATAAGTCAAGTGGACACATTTATCAAGCAATACTAATAATTTTAAAATGGCCAAATTTTGGCTGATTAATTGGTTTAACATATATACTGTATATTGGTCAATCACAATTTAAGTGATATTACAATAAACCTTTTATTTGAGGAAGATGATTATTATCTGTAGCTTGTCAGATTGAGATTAATTGAATGTGTGAATGTGCATGTGTGTGTTTAGCATGAAGCCCTGGGCCCGCAGTACGAAGAGTTCCCGTCTCTGGACACTGAATCAGTGACAGGCTGCACCGGTATGCAGAGACTGGGCGCCAAACTCGGGTGAGTCACAAAAAGCGTCTCACTCGTCATAGTACACACTCTTAAATCTTTAAAACAGATCATTGTGTCTCAGTTTGGATCCACACAGCTGCCTGTGTTTTACGTGTGTGTGCTGCTGCAGGTTTATCTCAGGACTGATTCAGCGGGTGAAGGTGGAGGCGTTTGAGCGCATGCTGTGGCGGGTCTGTAAAGGTTACACCATCCTCAGCTACGCAGAGGTGGACGAGAGCCTGGTTGATCTTGACACGGTATGCAAACTTAGAACGCTGAGGTCCACCAACAAAGTGCATCTGAATGACTGTAGTTATGTCCAAACGATTTGGTTTAACAGAATATGCTGCACGGTGCAAACATGCCTCTGTTTTTTCACAGTTTTAGATCATACCCGTCTGCCACAGCCAAAGCGTGCTAATGTATTCAGAGTGATGAACCAGTTTGTTTACGGAGGCTCTGTCTTGTGTTTACGTGTTTCAGGGGGAGATCAATAAGAATGTAGTGTTCCTCATCTCCTTTTGGGGCGACCAGATTGGGCAGAAGGTTCAAAAAATTTGCGACTGGTAAGTGAAGGCCTAGATGGAGACTTCATTCTTCTTATTTCACCTTTTTAGGGGTCATACACACATACATACGTTCCTGCATATCATCTGCACTATCTGTTAGTTGTTGGTCTTTGGACACATACGTAGACAGTATGTAAGTTTGAACGCAACGAATGCACTTTTTGCAACTTTTTAGGTCTTTTTTTTAATCGCCTTTATATTTAATTTATTGTTAATGTTTGGGCTGTCAATTAAACAATTAATTTTAATTTATTTGAAGTAAATTAAGTAATAATTTCAACAACAAAAAAAGGCATTAAAAATTAAAGCATTGTCTCCTGAACTATTTTTCTTTTAAATTATATAAAAAATTAAACTCATACATACTGTGACTTGAGCATGTTTTAATTTCTGATGAGCATGTTTTAATTTCTGAATTAAAACATTTTTTTTTTTGGCATAAAGTCTCACATTTCAGGGTGATACAACCATGCTGAAATTATAATGCCTCATTAAAGGATGAAATTCGTAAAGAAAACCTTAAGTAGTTTGGCATAATCTTTTATGATTATTTCTTTGTAAAAAATGCAGGAAAAAATAAGTCAATAAGTCGTTTAAGATACAAGATCATTTTTATGACAAGGCAAGATTAGTTCAGGTTATAAAATACCCTATCACGCCCAAAAAACTTTAATTGTCATTATTAGGAATAAAAAAATCATGATATTTGTAAAAAAAAAAAAAGAAAAAAAAAGTTTTACCTTGAATAATTCTGGATAAATTGGGTATGTCGATTTTTTTTTTTTTTTTTTTTTTAACACGATTATGAACAAAATAAACAAAATAACATGTAATTTAATAGAGATTCTGACAAAATGTTAGTTGCTGGGCACTGCAGTCTATATTAAAAAATATTTTATTAATTTTGAGTTCTTTTCGTAAAAATTCAGTTTAAATGAATGATTCAATGACTCACTCATATAGATTTCACTTTCGTTTCGTTACTGGATGAATCAGTGTTTTTGAAGAAATATCTTGAGTAATTCAAGGACAAATACATTTTTTAAGTCACTTGGCGCCACCTACTGGTGTAACAATGTAATCGATACAATCTTGTCAAGTTACTTTCAAAAGGTGATTTGCTCTATTTTGATCGCGACCGTAGACATCAGTGTTTATATCCTACTATAAAGTTTTATCCCAGTACTGTAACTGTAACAAAACTGTAACAAAAATAATGATACTCTGGGGTTGAAAAGATTGTTTGTGAAGCTGTTTCATACATGATAACTGCTTTCAGCGGCGACGCAGATTTGAATGTTGCTGTGATCGTGCCTCTCAAAGGTTTAATAGACAGAGCCGAATTGTTGTCATTTAGGAATCAGATCGCATAATTGTTTGAATCGAGATTGCGACCTTTTAACGATTAATCGTGCAGCTCAACATTCCTGTATGTATGGAAATATATACTTTTTATTTGACATTTCTAGGGTTATTTCTCAGTATTTTTTCTTGGGAAAAAAAAACATAAAACAATCATGTATACAAGTAGTACATTTCTAAGAACTTGGCACATGTGTTTTTAGATTTTGCAAAGATTTGTCCAAGATCTTTTCTGCGTCATGAACACTGACCCAATTTGTCACTGACCCAAAAATGGAAATGTTTTTAACTTGACCCACCATCTTCAAACGTGGCGCTTGTGGTGCGAAACCCTGAAAACAGTGAGACTCTACACAATAGTTAAAGACATCCATTTGAAGTATGTGTCTGACCATTAGTGAAAAAATTAAAGTATTTTTGCAGATGGTATAATAGAGCATGTTGTGCTCTTAAGCCTGCCACGGTCCTGTTGGGTTTGCTATATAATTTTGCTTGTGTACACCAGTTACCACTGCCATCTCTACCCCCACCCTGAAACGGACGAGGAAAGAGCCGATGTGATGGACAGCTTGAGGACACGCATCCAAGACTTACAAAACGTACGTCTTCTGCATTACCGAGTGCCTTCAGTGTCTCCTTGGGGGGGAGGGTTGATTAGCTGTTATTGGTTTGTCCTCTGCAAAATAATGCTGACGTTATGTCTTCCACCAGAGGATTAGCGTAATTATATTAACCTGGGATTTCATAAATGATCTTTGCTCATTAGGTTTTGCACCGCACCGAGGATTACTTGAAGCAGGTCTTGCACAAGGCGTCTGATTCGGCGCACTCATGGGTGCTGCAAGTGAAGAAGATGAAAGCAATCTATCACATCCTCAACCTCTGCAGCTTTGACGTCACCAACAAGTGTCTCATCGCTGAAGTGTGGTGTCCGGTCAGTGACCTGGCGAACCTGAGGCGGGCGCTGGAGGAGGGCTCAGTGAGTACAATCGTTCTCATGTGACGGTAGTCTGATTTTATCCAACCTATTGACGTACGAGAAGTGTTAATGTGGCTTCTAGACAATTCTACTGATAAGAGCTATAACTGTGGCCTCTTTTAACTTTCTTATTAGAGAAAAGGTGACGCCACCGTCCCATCTTTCGTGAACCGTATCCCTAGCAGCGACACTCCGCCGACACTTTTGAGGAGCAACAAGTTTACCTCGGGCTTCCAGAGTATAGTGGAAGCTTATGGAGTGGGCGATTACAGGGAGGCAAGCCCGGGTAAGTGCAGACCACCAACTGTTATTCATCGGCTTGATTGAGAAGGCTTACACTAGGAATTAAAGCAATATTTCACCCTAAAATAAAAATGTATTTACTCACCCTCATATATAGCATGTAGTGACTAGTGGCTGTCAGGATCCATAAAAAGTGTCCATATTGCCTTATCATTAGCCATATTACCAGTAATATATTGTGTGCAGAAATATTTTAAAATGAAATTTATTCCTGTGATCAAAGCTGAATTTTCAGCATCATTACTCCAGTCTAGTGTCACATGATCCTTCAGAAATCAGTTATAATAATCTGATTTGATGCTCAAGAAACATTTCTGAATATTATCAATGTTGAAAACAGTTATGCTGTGCAATATTTTTGTGGAAACTGATTTTTTTTTTTCAGGATTAGCCCTATTTGATGAATAGAAAGTTCAAAAGAACATTTATTTGAGATAGAAATCTTTTGTAACATTATAAATGTCTTTATTGGCCATTTAATCAATTTAAAGGGGACTTATTATGCAAAATTCACTTTTATAAGGTGTTTGAAGAACACTGTCTGCAGTGTGTGTAAACAACCAGCCTATAATGGTAAAAAAAATCCACCCACTCCTTTTCTTATAATCCCATAAATCATAAACAGTCTCTCCAAACGAGCGGTTCCAGGTTTCCCTCTACTCTTGCGTAAAACTGGTGACGATCTGCCCTTTTAGCATAGATCCCACCCTGAGTGAGCCACAGCAGTCGCTGTATCAGCTAGAGATTTACAATGTCTGCGCCAAAAAAAAAAAAACCTCATTACAAATGTTCTGTTATTGGATGTACCAACAAACATAAGAGTCTCCATAGACTCCCGGCATCTGAGACACTGAGGACATCCTTGGTGAAAAAAAACCCCGGTAGTGTGCATTGTCTTTGTGTCCGGTACAGATCGACACTCTTAAAAATAAATGTTCCAAAAGGGGGTTTTCGCAGTGATGTAAGAGAAGAACAATTTTGTGTTTCCCAAAGAACCTTTCAATGAGCAGTTTTTAAAATAACCACTTTTTTCTTAGTGTGAAGAATATTTTAATAATCTGAAAAACCTTTTTACATTATAAAGAACCTTCTGTGTAATGAAAGGTTCCATGGGTGTTAAAGGTCCTTCGTGGAACCATCAATGCCAATTAGGAACCTTTATTTTTACGAGTCTGGTGTTATAGTTCAGGTTTTTTTATTTCTTCTCTTTTCTTCACAGCTCCTTATACCATTATCACCTTTCCTTTTCTGTTTGCGGTGATGTTTGGAGATGTTGGTCATGGTGCAGTCATGACACTTTGTGCTTTGTGGATGGTGTTGACTGAGAAGGACCACACACGGAGACGACCAGGAAATGAGGTCAGAGTTGTAACTAAATTCAATTAAACTAATTGCAATTAGCTTTGGTGTAGCTCAACATGCATTGAGCTGTTGTGATTATGCATTGGCAGTACAAATGTGTTTTTGAATACATTTTTGTCTTTATTCAGATCTGGACGACTTTTTTTGATGGGCGGTACATCATACTGATGATGGGATTATTCTCCTTATACACCGGACTCATTTATAATGACTGTTTCTCCAAATCCCTCAACATCTTTGGCTCAGCCTGGAGCGTCAAGGCCATGTTCACAGAACAGGAGTGGTCGTAAGACACAAAATACACAAATCTTATAAGAAACCTTTTTGTTTGTTTGCAAAGCATGACTTTAGGATCCAAGCACTGAAAGTCATAGCGTCAACATGAAGTGTGGCAATTACAACAGACTTTGGAATAATCCTCGTATATTTACTTGCTTAAATGCATGTGCATAGTTTTCCTAGAGCCTCCATGTGCAGTGGCACCATAGTGCTCGGGCCTGTCATTGCTGCTTGCAGCTAAATTTGCATTTCTATTTTATTTAAGGTTCCAAAATAATCATACATATCATTGGATGCTATTGTTTTCCTCCTTTTACTCTGGAATAGAAATGAAACTCTACAAATGAATACTTTACTCACCTTGAATCCCAACGTTTCCGGTGTTTTCTCTGGGCCATATCCACTGGGCATTGATCCAGTGAGTACACACTCTCTGATATATGAAGCACTCTTCTGTGGGTGGCAGTCACATCCCGAAAGAGTACATTACAGCTCAGAGTAATTCGCTGATATTGTTTGCAGAGCTCTGATTTATCATGTTCTATTGACCTGTAGATTTGGAACATGGCCGTGAATCGCCTGTCCTTCCTCAACTCCTACAAGATGAAGATGTCTGTGATCATTGGAGTCATCCATATGAGCTTTGGGGTGGTGCTCAGTGTTTTTAACCACTTGTGAGTGAGCAATTTATTTTATAAATGTGTTTGTAATGGTAAAGGTTCTGTTACTAATTATTATATGAATAAGTCATTTAGAGCGGGGGTTTACAAACTGGGGTCTGGGGACTCCAAGGCAGTGTTTTATTATCATTAAGATACTCTCATTGTTTGTTAATTACTTAACTGCAAGTATTTCACTTCCAAAGATGTGTGAGTACTTCATTTCAAAAAGTGTGCAAGTACCTGACTTTAATAAGTGTGCGAGTATTTGACTTTAAAAAGTGTGCGAGTACTTGACTTTAATAAGTGTGCGAGTACTTGACTTTAAAAAGTGTGCGAGTATTTGACTTTAAAAAGTGTGCGAGTACTTGACTTTAAAAAGTGTGCGAGTACTTGACTTTAAAAAGTGTGCGAGTACTTGACTTTAAAAAGTGTGCGAGTACTTGACTTTAAAAAGTGTGCGAGTACTTGACTTTAAAAAGTGTGCGAGTACTTGACTTTAAAAAGTGTGCGAGTACTTGACTTTAAAAAGTGTGCGAGTACTTGACTTTAAAAAGTGTGCGAGTACTTGACTTTAAAAAGTGTGCGAGTACTTGACTTTAAAAAGTGTGCGAGTACTTGACTTTAAAAAGTGTGCGAGTACTTGACTTTAAAAAGTGTGCGAGTACTTGACTTTAAAAAGTGTGCGAGTACTTGACTTTAAAAAGTGTGCGAGTACTTGACTTTAAAAAGTGTGCGAGTACTTGACTTTAAAAAGTGTGCGAGTACTTGACTTTAAAAAGTGTGCGAGTACTTGACTTTAAAAAGTGTGCGAGTACTTGACTTTAAAAAGTGTGCGAGTACTTGACTTTAAAAAGTGTGCGAGTACTTGACTTTAAAAAGTGTGCGAGTACTTGACTTTAAAAAGTGTGCGAGTACTTGACTTTAAAAAGTGTGCGAGTACTTGACTTTAAAAAGTGTGCGAGTATTTGACTTTAAAAAGTGTGCGAGTACTTGACTTTAAAAAGTGTGCGAGTACTTGACTTTAAAAAGTGTGCGAGTACTTGACTTTAAAAAGTGTGCGAGTACTTGACTTTAATAAGTGTGCGAGTACTTGACTTTAATAAGTGTGCGAGTACTTGACTTTAATAAGTGTGCGAGTACTTGACTTTAATAAGTGTGCGAGTACTTGACTTTAATAAGTGTGCGAGTACTTGACTTTAATAAGTGTGCGAGTACTTGACTTTAATAAGTGTGCGAGTACTTGACTTTAATAAGTGTGCGAGTACTTGACTTTAATAAGTGTGCGAGTACTTGACTTTAATAAGTGTGCGAGTACTTGACTTTAATAAGTGTGCGAGTATTTGACTTTAAAAAGTGTGCGAGTACTTGACTTTAAAAAGTGTGCGAGTACTTGACTTTAAAAAGTGTGCGAGTACTTGACTTTAATAAGTGTGCGAGTATTTGACTTTAATAAGTGTGCGAGTATTTGACTTTAATAAGTGTGCGAGTACTTGACTTTAAAAAGTGTGCGAGTACTTGACTTTAAAAAGTGTGCGAGTACTTGGCTTTAATAAGTGTGCGAGTACTTGGCTTTAATAAGTGTGCGAGTACTTGACTTTAATAAGTGTGCAAGTACTTGACTTTAAAAACTGCAAGAATTACACTTTAAAAAGTGTGCGAGTACTTGACTTCAAAAACTGTGAGTACTTCATTTTAAAAGTGTGCGACTTCAAAAAGTGTGCAAGTACTTCTTCAAAAAAGTGTGTGAGTACTTCATGCAGATTTCATCTGCTAGGTTTGAAAGTGACTTCTGTGTGATCTGTGCTTTATACATTGCTACACTATTGACAATAGACAATTAACCTTTTTTTTTGCCTGCAAAATTTAAATTATGTGACCTTTTTCAGGTAATTCTTTTTAAATAATTTGCTTTGTCTTCAGTACAGCATGAAAATGAATTCATTTTGCCAAGTATTTCATGCTGGAAACAAATGTATGATTTCATATATATTTTTCTTCCACAATATAAATTTATACATGAAAATATATAGTCGCTTGCATATTTTCGGAAAAGGTCCTAATCAAAAGGTTCTGTGTGACATCATATAAAAAATGATGAGAAGCACATACAACATCAGTTGTTAATCAAACTCTTTCTGCATTAAGCTCTCTATGCTCTTATACTCTATAAATTCTGTCTTTGCTCTTTCCCTCTCTGTGTATTCACAGGCACTTCCGACAGAAGTTTAAGATCTATCTTGTCTTTCTTCCTGAGCTGCTCTTTCTACTTTGTCTCTTTGGGTACTTGGTCTTCATGATCTTTTACAAATGGCTGGCATTCTCAGTGCAAGACTCTCGGCTGGCTCCAAGCATTCTCATCCACTTTATCGACATGTTCCTAATGCAGGGGAATGCCTCTACACCGCTTTACCCCGGGCAGGTGTGTGTGTGTGTGTGTGTGTGTGTGTGTGTGCACGTGTGGGAGGACTAGTCAGTCTGCTTGATATCTGCATTTGTGTTAATCCTCTTGTAACAGATGGGACTGCAGGTGTTTCTAGTCGTGGTTGCTCTGCTGTCTGTGCCAGTGTTGCTGCTCGGGAAACCTCTCTACCTCTACTGGCTGCATCATGGCGGGAAGAGACTGGGGGTCCACAGGGTTTGTCTGTGTTCTTGTGTATGTATGTGTTCGTATCTGATGTCAAGATATCACATGGTACATTCATAAATTATTAGGGCTGTGGATCGCTCTAAAAAACCTAATTATTCTCACAACTTTACATCAATATAGAAAATCACAATGAAAAATACAACTTAATCCTGAAATAGGCTTTATTTTCTTTATTCAAATTGTTTTGATTTTTATTGTTATTATTTTCGGGTGAAATGTCACCCACATTTTTGTGTGAGATTTGACTCAAATGTGGTCTTCAGATGTATGTTCTTATGTGTGTAATAGAATATGTATCCTGATATATTGATGCATGATGACCTGGTTAAAGAGGCTATCACTTTGTGTGTAGGGCTACGAGAGAGTTCGGCGTGTGAGTGAAGAAGATCTGTCACCGTCTGTAGTCCATGATGAAGAGGATGGACTAAGTGACTCAGGAAAGCCTCAGGAGGTTAAAGTTGACCTATCTCACATAAAATCACCATTAAAACACAGTGGGTCTCATCGACTAATAATTGCGTGGATTATTTTGTATTTGTACACACAGTAGAGCTTCTTACAAAAAATTTCACTTAAGTCACAACATTGAGTGACTACGTGCCTGAGGTTAGTCGTTTGCATAAAACAGTCCCAAACCATCTCCATATAAGGGCTTTCCGCACAAGCTTTTGTCACTCTTAGAATACATGACGCAACAAATCGCGCACAGCAAGATCCTCGAGTTATAAAAAGTGTGCCATCCTAAGCAAAACTTAGCTTTAGCTACATACAATTATTTGTGTTTTTATGCAGCGGAACCTCGCAACTCAAGCTGTTCTTACTCTTTTATATAAATTTATATACAGTGTATACAATACACAGTACCGGTCAAAAGTTTGGAATCATTAAGATTTTTTTGTGTTTTTGAAAGTGTTCAGTCTCTTAATCTCACCATGGCTGCATTTATTTGATCAAAAATACAGTAAAAACAATTTAACTGGTTTCTGTTCAGCATCATCACTCCAGTCTTCAGTGTCACATGATCCTTCAGAAATCATTCTAATATGCTGATTTGATGCTCAAGAAACATTTCTTCTTATTATAATGTTAGACACAGTTGTGCTGCTTAATATTTTTGTGGAAACTGTGATTTTATTTTATTTTCAGGATTCTTTGATGGATAAAAATTTATTTTTTGTTCAATTTATTGTGCCTTTGCTAAATAAAAGAAAAACTTAACCCAAACTTTTGAATGGCTGCTTTCAACATTGTTCAACAGTTCAACATTGATAATAATAAGAAATTATCTTAAAATGATTTCTGAAGGATCATGTGACACTGAAGACTGGACTAATAATGCTGAAAATTCAGCTTTGATCACAGGAATAAATTACATTTTATAATGTATTAGGACAGAAATTGTTTAATTGTTATAATATTTCAAAGTATTACTGTTTTTACTGTATTTTTGATCAAATAAATGCAGCCTTGGTGAGATTACTTAAAAAAACACATTTTTTAAAAATTCCAAACTTTTGACCGGTACTATATATAAATGTATATATATATATATAAATATCTTGACACTAATTTAAGGCCACTCAGAGTGTGATTTTTGTGTATATATATGTGGTTTCAGATTAGGGTTTACATTTTTTGTAAATTTTGAATAAATTTTAATATGAAACTTGTTTGTGAAAATGGTCACACACAGATTTCATGCACAAAAATGTGTGCATGCGCACACTCAGAATCAGACCCAATGATTTTGCTTATTCATTGTATAAATGTCGCTAACAGCTTGTTTGTTCACTGGCAGTTTGATTTTGGAGATGTATTCCTGCATCAAGCAATTCACACCATAGAGTACTGTTTGGGCTGCATTTCCAACACAGCCTCCTACTTGCGTCTCTGGGCTCTGAGTCTCGCCCACGCCCGTGAGTGTCTGGTTGTTCATTCAGAAAACACATTGAAAAACCTGCATGTTTCATTGCATCATGGGAATATGAATATCTTTTCTAGACTGTTTGTGCATATATTGTATTTGTCTATATATTAGAGCTGTCAGAGGTACTGTGGGCGATGGTGATGCGTCAGGGTCTGAGGATGAGCTCCAGACTGGGTGTGCTTTTCCTTGTGCCTGTGTTCAGTGTCTTCGCTCTGCTCACTGTCTCCATTCTCCTGATCATGGAGGGTCTGTCCGCTTTCCTCCATGCTCTGCGTCTTCACTGGTGAGCGCACGGCCTCAGATATGGGCAGGTTTAATTATCAGAAATCGTTTGTTACATTTAAAAGTCTTGAAAATATTACATTATAATTTCTTCTTTTTTTTTTTTGCAGGGTGGAATTTCAGAACAAATTCTACAGTGGAATAGGAGTCAAATTTGCCCCCTTTGACTTCTCTCTGTTACCTTCTGCTTTTGAGCAAGATGGGTTACTCTGACTGTAACCTACGACTCTTTGAACAGGACACTGTAGCTTATCATCATGACCTATTGAACTTTGGGCACTGGACAGTGATCCAGCAGTTGTAAAAGAAAAAAAACATGGGTTCTTGCTAAACGTGGTCACGGTCAGATCAGCAGGCTAACCTGACAGCCCTATTTGCACCAGTTGATATCAGATGTTTCTGGTGCGGGATGATTAGCTGTGGTTCTGTCATGTACTGTCATTCAAAGAGTGTCAACAAAGTCCTGTTGTTATATTTATCTTAAGGGATATGACTTGTATTTGGATTTGCACCCTCATAAGCATTTGCTGTCATATCACTTTTCAAAGTGCCATAACTATTTTTCAATGTACAGTTTTGTATACTACACTAAATTGTACTTTTGCTTGCAAATAGCTAGGTCTTTACACATAGAAAAAACTTTGCAGGTAAATCATGGTGTAGGTAATGCTATGCTGTGCAATGAACAATGCCAAATAACAGTTATAATTTCCAATGTGATATTAAAGTATCATTTAAAGCATTTGGCGTGTAAAGCAGTTTTCCAAAGTAGCATTTTGGGTTCAAAATTAATTATAAGACAATGCTTTATTCATATTTCGAATGAAATATTTTTAATATGTGTTTATGGTTTAGGAACTGACAAACCAACAGCTGTACATGGGAATACGGTTTTACTTTGCCATGTTTTTCATCAGCATTCCTGTAAATTTACATTTGTGTTTCAGTCACTTATAAACGAACTTTTATTATACGAATAGTGCAGAGTTGTGCTTATAGTGATGCAGTTTAAGAACATTTCATACATTGATACATCATACATGACGTCCCCGTTATGCAGGACTTATTTAAATTAAATCTTTTAAGTAGGTCATTCCGTAGACCCTTAGGACGAATCCATTGACAGCAACATTTAATTTCGCTATATTTAGCTTCTTTCCTTCATGGTGAGCTTAAACAAACAAACTGCATCAAAGTTAACGTTAAGATATATCAATATAGCATTTCATACCAACTAATCGCGAAATTATAACGTTAGTAATAAATGTCCACCCCCGTTTGATTAATTGGTAGAGCCTGAAGTGTGTCATCCACGCATGCGCAGTTCACGTCTCGACAGAAGACACACGAAATGGCGTCTGCTGCAGGTAAGGGTAATGTGAAACCTTTTGTACTCTTTCATAGAATGTTAGATATTTTAGAAAATACCAGTGTGTATGTGTCTTTTTGTCTGGGGTTATAGTTAAGCATGTTATGTGTTTCATAAAACGCCTTGAATCCATAAAATATTAATTTGTATGATGTTTGCCGGTGTGGTTCGAGCCGGTTTGGTCCGTCTGCGTTGGAAATGGGGGAGGGGATGGACAAACTGCGGCATTTTACATTTTGCTTTGCTTCAAACAAATCCCAAATCATTTATTTAACTGATGCCACACAAATTTACCTTGGTTATTATATGCAGCTTATTTTATTAGCACCAATTTACACGTGCCGGTCTGTTGCTTGGCAACCCTTGAGCTGAGAAGCGGGCTAATTGTTATTAACTTAGCTCGCGAGCTGGTATGTCTGTGTTAAATGGTGCTCAGGTGTGTCTTATCTAAATAATCCGCTGCTCTTCTAAATCCTTTAAATATTAATCACAGCATGCATCTGTTTCAACATCTGTTACACAATGTGAATGAAGAGAAAATCATTAATTTTCTCGTGTTAATTTGAATGTGGTGGTGCTTGCTCATCGAAACCTAACCTTACCCTCCCCCTTCTCTGAAATATCTACTGGATAAACTTTTTTTCGGACGGTTTTTAAATACCCATTTGACCGTTTTTTTCCCTTACATTATTAATCTGTGTTATTAATTAACCACGATAAGCAAAGTGTACATGACCGTAACTATACCTTTCTTTGAATATTTGACCCATTTCCACAGCTTTGTTCTTGCTTTGATATATTTGATATTCTAAATGAATGTTAATGTTGTTTTCTCGCAGATTACAACAGTTACGGACAGGCTGGAGGCCAACAGGGGTAGGTATAACATATAGGGTTCCCACGGTCAACATAGAAGTTCTATACTGTCTAGTACACATGTTTCTAGTTATACTGTGATTGCAGTCTCTATAAAGTTTTCAAGCCATACCAAAAGCCAAAGACATACCACGCGAAATCCGATCGTTCAGACTGAGGCTGATGTCCTGATATGTGATTTGAATAGGATTTCAAACCACATATGGATGTAACTTGAAACGAATTTCATGTGCTTTTTTGGACTGACAATCTGAACGTATCTTATTTCGGGATAATAAATAGATGGAAGAATTGCAGTAATGTTACGTGCTAGAGAAGCTAACTCGTTCGGATCTTTAGCAGCTACCACATAATGTGACCACATAAAACATATTAACTTTAGTTTGTCAAAATGTTGCGCTCTCTCCTGCTTCCCAAGTCCTTCTCTATATGATTTCGCACCTACCACGTGTTTTTTCCGTGGTTTATTAGTGTAACAATGTGTTCAGTAGTACATGAACAGTGCAATCCATGCTGTTGTTTACATCCGAGTGCCTCCATAATGGCCGCGCATCCGCGTTACCGCCCAGAACGTGACGTTGGTGAAACCCCTCTATACTGTCTAGTACACATGTTTCTAGTTATACTGTGATTGCAGTCTCTATAAAGTTTGTTTTATCTTAAAGGGATAGTTCACCCAAAAATGAAAGTCATAATTTACTCACCCTCATGTCGTTTTAAACCAGTATGAATTTCTTTCTTGTGCTGAACACAAAAGATGATATTTTGAAGCATGTCAGTAACCAAACAGTTGATGGACCCCATTTAACTGCCATAGTATATCCCCCCATCCCATATTGTTGTTGACGGGGTCCATCAACTGTTTGGCGACCCATATTCTTCAAAATATCATATTTTGTGTTCAGCATAAGAAAGTCATGAAAATCAGGAACAACTGAAAATGCATGTATAATCATGGCCGGTGTGTTGACCAGTGTGTTGGTCAGATATACACATTCCTGTATATAATAGTTTTGTCATTTATCAGTAATAAAATTAGGAAATAATTTGTCATCTGTTATCAGGTACAGCTCCTATGCGGCCCAGCCCTCACAACAGGGTTATGCTCAGGGCACTCAGGTAAACCGTCACTTTAAATTCTTTTCTGCATGCTTTTTTCTGGATAAGTGACTTACTGTATGTGCTCTTTTCGTCTAGCAATCCTATGGTCAACAGCAAGGCTACGGTTCATACAGCCAACCGGCTGACTCGACCTACTCACAGACCAGTGGCTCCTCCAGCAGTTACAGTCAGCAGCCGTATGGATCATCCTACGGACAGCAACCACCAGCCAGCGGTGTGTTATTTTTGTGTTTATTCGAACAGCACTGAATTTCTCCAATATCTGCAAGCGATGTGGGTTTATTCAATGATTTGTTGATTTTTACCTTTTGCAGCTGGTTATAATGCTGCTACAGCTGCTCCGCAGGGCTACAGTCAGCCTGTGCAAGGTTATGGAAGCAGCAGCTACGATTCCTCCACTGCTGCTGCCGCCACCGCCGCTGCTTCAACCACCAGCAGTAACCAGACCTCTTATGCTGGGCAGACCAGCTACGGTGCCCAGTCTACGTATCCGGGATATGGGCAACAGCCTGCTTCTACTGCACCACCAAGGTATTGGGTTTATTCTGTTCTGCATAGTCCCCGAAGTTTGTGAATGTGTTTGTGATGGTCACTGATTGTAAATTTAAAATTTGCTTTAGCAGTTACAGTTCTGGCAGCCAGCAGCCCTCTGGATATGAGCAGAGCTCGTATTCCCAGCAGCCTCAGCAAAGTTCCTATTCGCAGCAGCAGGGAGGATACCAGGGCCAACAAGGAGGCTACGGACAGCAGAGCTCCTACAGCCAGCAGGGAGGGTATCAACAAACTCCTGCCCAGCAGCAACAAGCTCCGCCTTCCAGCTACACCGCAGCTTCTGGGTCCTATGGACAGCCCCCTGCCAGTCAGTACGGACAGCAGGGCAGTACTGGGGGAAGCTATGGCCAGTCCGACTACAAACCACCCAACCAGTATGGTAAGTCTTCTGGTTGTAGCTTGGTAGAGACTGTCATTGGAGTTTTTCCTGTTGATTAACATTTTTCCTTCACAGGCAGTTACAGACAAGACCATCAGAACGGCATGGGCGGAGGTGGCTACTCGGGCCCTGAATCCGGAGGATATGGGGGCCCTGGAGAGGGCCGAGGCATGGGAGGGGGGGAGAGCCGCGGGCGTGGCCGGGGTGGGTTTGACCGGGGCATGATGCGAGGAGGTGGTGGCATGCGAGGGGGCCGTGGAGGCATGGGGTAAGTGTGCGTTTGTGCAGTCTCACCTCACCACTTCTCTTTCCCTCAGACAGGAGCTGAAAGAGGCAATACAGGGCTGAGAGCCGTGCTAGATTCATAAATTGGCAGAAATGTAACTATTTTTTGGCGCAAAAGCGTGAATTGTATGCTCTAATTATTAAACCTTTTTTTAAGTTAATTTGATAGTCACACAGTTGTTTTGACAAGATGCCAAACTGATTTAAGTGCTGCTGCTCTCAGCTCTGCCTCATTAGGGTAGGGTTGTAACGGTATGAGATTTTCACGGTATGATAACATCACAGAAAATGTCACGGTATACAGTATGAACCAATTACAATTATCACCAGTTACTATGACCCTTAAATAACAAACGTGAAACCACGTTTTGTTTATTTAATCAAAAGCACACAAAATCAAGAAAATTTGATTAACAACTTATAATTTGTTACAATTAAGTAGGCTGTAATAGTCCTATGAAATGTATCTTATTCAGAGGGTTTGTTTATTTTTTGTGGATTCTGTTTTATATTTGAATACAAATAGATGATCAAAAGGGGTGGTAATCAGATGAATGCATAAACCTTTAAAGCTTTTAATTTAATGCTTTAAATAATATTATTATTTTTGCTGAAATTATTATAATTGAAGTACATTCTATTATATACAGTAGTTCTGTGGTCATTTCAAGTTAACCCAAACTTTTATTTTGGTGGGTTGTAGTGAAGACCTTTGAGGTTCAGTGTATTTGACGATGGGCTTTCTCAAATAAAATGCTGAAATGCTCTCAGAGCAGTTCTAGTGGTATTCGTGTCCTAAAATGGCATGATGGCCGGCTTACTTGTGTATGTAGTAGACAAAGTAATCAAGACAATTATATATTTAAATAGCTGTCTTTTTACGCTTGAATATTCACACAAACTAGACCTTACCACGATTTGATTTATTGTACAGCTCTACTTTTCGATTTATCCATCCATCAAATGGAGCGTTTCACGTGACATCTGCGTGATGCTCATGGCTGGATTCCGGGATTCATTCTGCATCACGGAAATCATACGCCTTAAGTTATAAACGGGACATACCTTTATCTGCACGGAGGGATGGGATGGTGTTCTCGAATATAGGCGAACATGTTTTTCGGTCTCCTCTCAAAACTGTTTTTCCTCCATTTTTGCAGCCACTTTGCGTCCACATTTTTTTTTTTGCAAATTGGATATCTATCCTCGGAAAACCCCGAGGTATCCCCCCTCCCCTGTAGATAAGGAAATGTGCATGATTTGAGAATCCTATGCGTTCATACCGTGATATTCCGTCATACCGGTATACACTACAACCCTACATTATGGCCTAAGGTAAGATGATAGAGAATGTGCTTTGGGAAAAAATATAATAATTTCAGTCTCATTTACAATAATTAAATACATTTGTGGGATCTTCATTTACTAAAAGAACTTAATATGTTAGAAAAGGGAACAAGATGATTAAACATCAAGAGAGCACAATACAAAAGATTTCAAAAGATCTGTGCTCCAAGTGGTTGTGATAAGATCGTCAATGCAGAGTGTGATCCTTTAGCATAAATAAGGTGTATTAGTTACTCTAAATGGTATTCTGTAGATGTACCTGCAAATCACAGGCTTGCAGGTACACACGTCTCAAACTAATTTAATTAGTTATTAAATTAAATAAACTTTATTTAATTTTACTCTCAACTTACTCTTCACGGTAAGTGAAATTTAGGGGTATTTTTGGAAAGACAAAGGTGTTAAAATGGGTGATATTTACTAGCGTCCAGGATAAATTCCAGTTTACTCTGCAGAGTTTGAAAATGATTTAAATAGGTCTGGTTTTCATAAAATGAACAGTGTTTATAATTAAGAATATTGGTTCCCAAAGACTTCTTAGAATGCTCATGCAGCCAAAAGCAAGAAGCTAGCGCAAAACCAATATGAAAGTGAATGCAGTGATGCTCAAAACAAAACTGTTACTACAGAATGTCTTTGTCCCTTCTTCGTTATCTTGAGCGTCTCCCCTGCTAGGTGTTTTTAAGATAAATATATATATATATATATATTTGATCTATTCATAGATTTATTTTACAGTGAGCTTGTTCAATACTACTTTTAAAGTAAGCTATATTTTGGTTATGAAGGTGAAAATACACTGCATTCATTTTCCTTATTAAAAGGTATGTTTTCTTTATCTGTCACACATTTGGATTGCAATTGTCTTGTGCATTATGAAAAGTTTTCTTTAACATGCTTTGTCGCATTTATACGCTACAGGTAACAAAGTGAGAGCCATGTAAACACATCAATACTTTTACAGTACCACTACTCAGTTCTGAGTCTGGGCCGGCAGCCTTTTGAAATGGGGACTTAAAGTTGGTGGTGTCGAGAGGTGTTCCAAATGTGTATTTCCAACAGGAATGAAAAAATCATGTTTTGCAACCAAAGAAAATTTGTAATAATTATCTGAACATACAAGTTTACTTTTTTTCTTTTTCTTTTAACGAAACATTTTTTTGTGTTGTGTAATAATATTAGAAACGTTTATGTAAAGATAAAAATGGTGTTATGGTTTATCTGCTTTTTCTTTTTTCTTTGACTAAAATGCATGTACCAGCTTTATGTAAGCAGATTGTTTCAGATACAGCCACAAACAGGCTACTCCCGCATTTTGGTACACTTGCACCAAGCTTTTAGCCCCTTCGTGAGGATCAATTGTCGTATAATATTTTCAAGAGTTGATTTGGGTGTGGTTTTAAATATCGCATGACCTCATTCGTTTTTGCTTAAAGTTCGTAGCAAGGCTGCATCTGAAACAATTACATCCCAATTTCAGTGTACAAATTTCTGGGTTTTTCCACTTACAATAGTAATAAAGAACAACCCTTACTTCTGCTTAATACAACCCCAATACTGTTCAGCCACTAATGTCATTAAACTGTAAATCGAGCAAGTCAGACTAAGGGAAGAGACATTGTAATGCTACAGCACCCTAACTGAGTGTTCCTCTCAGAAATACTGTGTTTTTATAAGGGGGGCTTAAGAGTTTTTATGAGGGTTTAGAGTCAGTCAGAACTCTGTGCAAATACCCCCATTACCCCTTTTGTGGTACCGAAGTGGCTGTTTTAAGGGATATCGCCTTCATATCTTCGCTTATTCCCCCCCAGCATCGCTGGAGACAGAGGTGGCTTCATTAAGCCTGGTGGTAAGTTTAATGAGAATCACAAGACCATACACTAGAATTCTCCACCTTTTATGGGTGTTTTTCAGAAGGGAAATAATTAATGCCTTGCAAAACTATACTGCCGGCTAAAATTAAGAGCTCAGCTTTTGCCATTGGTCATATAGGAATGGTTCAGTCCTATTTTTATTGGTTAAAAATCCTGAGTGTGGACTCCAATGAAAGGTTATTTTTGCTCTCATATTTAGGAGTTAATGGTAAATGGCCGACCCAGCCATGTAGAGTATCACCATTTCAGCGTTTACTACTTTTTCAATTTTATATGATATCAGGTTCTGGAGTCCAATTTGGGTCCTTGGTTTTTCAAGGGTTTTGCAAATATACATTTTTTTTATTTATTTAAGGCACACTGGAATAAAAAACTAGGTAGCTTTTTACTAGTTTCCTCTTAATACTTTTTTGACAATAATCAGACCATTCTTGGGTCAACAGCACAATGGTATTTTGTCTTTTTATGTCTTTGAATGGTCAGAGCAAGTGTGCCGGGGCAGTCTTGACCAGAAAATGGTAGCATAATGTTGTCAGGTGCTTGAAGCTCAGCTTGTAAACTAACTTGTTTCTCGCTGTCTTTTTCTCTTGGTGTCCTGATTAATGAACCTCCGGAACAGATGGTGACATGGGTAGGTTTGGATTTGGGGTTTTTATTTGTCTTTTTCTGTCCATTTGTATCAATTTCCTCTGCTTTTAACACCCTGTGTGTTCTGCAGGACGGCCAGAGGAGCAAGATGACTCTGAAAACAGCACTATCTATATCACTGGGCTGACTGAGAACGCTACATTGGATGAAGTTGCTGACTTTTTCAAGCACAGTGGAATCATTAGGGTACTTGATACGTTTTCAATACGATGAAATGGCTTGGGAAAGATGGAAGGCTTTTTTTTCATGCATCATGCATTTTATTGGATTTCTTGAAGCTTATGATTAAATAGTTTCATTCATCTTTCTAAGATAAACAAACGGACGGGCCTGCCTGCTGTCAACATATACACAGATAAAGACAGTGGGAAACCTAAAGGCGATGCCACCTTATCCTACGAGGAGCCTCCATCTGCTAAAGCAGCTGTTGAGTGGTTTGATGGTATGTTGATCTTTATTGAAATCAGTCTTGAATGTCTTTCCATGCAACATGAGTCTTCTAGATAAACTGAAATTATTGTTTTTTTCTCATTAGGAAAAGATTTCCAGGGGAAGAAGCTGAAGGTGTCCATGGCCCGACGCAAGCCCATGATGGGAATGATGCGTGGAGGCATGCCAATGAGAGGAGACCGAGGTGGCATGATGGGACGAGGAGGTACGTCGTTCAATTGCTGTTTTAGAAGCAATAGAAAACTGCATTTTAATTTGAAATTTGAATTTTTTTTCTTTTTCTGTAGGAATGATGGGTCGTGGAATGGGCAGAGGTGGGGATCGAGGAGGGTTCATGCCACGTGGGGGTCCCAGAGGAATGGGCCGTGGAGGACCTACTGGAGGAAACATGCAGCAGAGGGCAGGAGACTGGCAGTGTCCAAACGCGTACGTTTTTCAGTAGTGGTGCAGTGATACTCAATGATCCATGTATTCCATTCAGCCTCTGATTTTGAGTCTTTGATTTTCTAGGGGATGTGGAAACCAAAACTTTGCCTGGAGAATGGAGTGTAACCAGTGCAAGGCACCCAAACCTGAAGGCTTTGGCCCTCCTCCCTTCCCTCCTCCAGGTTACTGTCTTTCATATTCACGTCTTGTGTCGCTTTAAAGGGTCATGAAACCCTAAACCAAATTTTCTGAGATTTTAACAGAGGTATGTGTGTTGAACAACATTGAAGACAATGTTAGCATCTGTTAGATTTCATAGTAGGGCGAAAATGGTTAAATTTTAGTTTTTTCCAGCTATTTTCGTCTTCCGGGTTTAAAATCTTCATCGCAGGCTGTGACGTGGCAGTGCACAGTGTAGTGCGTTGATGACTCATCAGTCTCTCATAATTATTAATGAGACTGAGTTTTTATATCCTATGAGAAGACACGGTCTCTTAATTATTCATGACACCACGTGGATCTTTCCACAGACATGTCAAACTGTGATATCGCGTAACGTTAGTAAAGGAGAGAGACCATCATGGGACGCAAGTGCCGCAAACATTTTACCCGAGAGAGCTTCGAGAATTGGAGAATGGTGGACTTCGGCCTTGTCGATGACCAATGCAAGTTACGTCTTGCGAGTAATGCGGTACCAAGTCCTGAGGACTTTTCTATCCCTTCAGAGTGTGTCTAAAATGTAACCCTGGTCATTGTACTTGCCTTTTGTTAAATAAGCGGTCGTTATGAACATTTTAGATATTTCGATAATATATCAATTGTATGCTTAATGCGGGAGACTTGTGAATGTGTAGTGTTGACGTGCGGGCCGGGCGACACCGTGTTGTGTGTGTGTGTGTGTGTGTGTACGTGCAGGCAGGCGAGCCTGTGAAATGATTCGGGGTCAGAGAGAGAAGCGGTAGGATGTGTGTTTGGACGAACGACTGAAAACTCTGAGATTATTGATCGTACATTGTACAGAGGTCAAAATTATTGTACAAATACGATAATTATCGTACATCTGGCAACACTGCTGGCTGATGACAGTTCCCCCTCTCCCCTGCCGTGCAACACCCACTCCCTCCCTTCTTCTCACAGCCATCCACGCCCATTTAAGTTGCATTTTTCAAAAAGATTATGAGCTAGACTTGAGCTGATAGAGGGGGGTTTCATGACCCTTTAAGAACCGCTAATATTATGGCTTCAGATGTTTGCATTGTTAATATTCACTAGCTGTCTTTTGAGCTTCAGGTGGTGACCGGGGTCGTGGTGGACCAGGTGGGATGCGTGGTGGCCGTGGAATGGACCGTGGAGGGCCAGGGGGACCCGGCGGCTTCCGTGGGGGCAGAGGAGTGGACCGTGGAGGCTTCAGAGGAGGGCGTGGTATGGACCGAGGCGGTTTTGGAGGAAGAGGTCGTGGTGGGCCCCCTATGGATGACATGGGAAGAAGGGGGCGAGGAATGGGACCACCTGGCAAAATGGATATGAAGTGAGTATGAAGAAAGTAGAAACTTGTGTCTGTGGAGCTGTGAAGGTTTTGTAGCCACAAAACAGAATAGTAATGTTGTTGTTGTTTTTTTGCAGGGGAGACCATCGCCAGGACCGGAGAGAGAGACCATATTGAGAGACCATACCTCACTGGTCAACATCTTCAACCCTGTTCGTTTTTCAAATGATTTTAAAGTTGCATTTCCATATTTATAAATGGTTGGTATGGAATTTATTACTGCATTGCTGTTAGTCCTCAGTGAATGTTTTATTTTTTTAAACTTTCTTTTGTTTTGTGCTCGCTTTTCTGGTCAAGAACTGTCATTGAAACCAGATGCACATGTAAATGTAGGGTGTTCAGTGTGCCATTTGGATATGTCAGAAATGTATTTGTGGTACTTTGTGAGGTTTTTTTTTTATTCCCAATACCCCACATTTTTTGCTCTCATGTGTGGAAATGTTGAATAAAAAAAATTAAAACATTTTTTTTAATGCATGGCTAAAGAAACCTAGGCCATGTACTTATTGTTTTCTGCATTTATTGTCATTACTTCACCTGAACAGTGTGGCATCTTCTGTGTAACTGAATAATGTAAATAACTGATGCTTTTCAGCCCCCTATGTAATTTCAAACAGTGTTTAAGAGTTCACCTCAAAAAAATAAAATTCTCAAAAAAAGATCTTGCCTTTTTTCTTAAACCATATCATGTTATGGTTGAACAAAATCAAAAATTATAGTTAAACGAAAAAAAAGCCGTGTTAAGATCCTTGAGTCTCTTTTTGTGCTCCAGGGAAAAAAAGTTTTGGAACATGAGTGCGAGTAAATATTAAACACACTAAACGGTAAAATATTCATTGCAGCGCCACCTTGCGGATAGTACAGAGAACCGCGTCCAAGATCTGTTCAGTAAGACAATATTAAACAGGAAAAACACCGCATGACTTTGCAACAACACCAAATGCCTTGAATGCAAGGATCAAGAATCTAATCGATATCGGATGCAGGTCTGCATTCTGTCAAGCTTATCTCGGGATGTATAGCCTATACTTGAGCTTTTAAAAGACTGTGCATCCTCGCATCCGCTCTCCTCACTAATGTCTTTACGTCATATGGCAGATTCTGTGCGTCCGCGAGGCATCTACGTCATCCACTGTGTTGGTTCCCCCAGTAGCATCAGTTTTCCATCATCATATCTCTCAGAAGCGCCGCCTCTCCTCGCAGTGGCCGCAAATTTGACTCCTCGCTCATGCCCTAAACGTGTTGCATACATGCGAAGGCAGGTGAGGTGTCTGGCGCGCGATCCGCAGCGGTGAGAGAGACAGCAGCAGCGCGCGCGTATCCCCGCGGACAACGCTTAATATGACCGAACTGGTGGTGCGGACCCTTCCGTCTCCTTCAGGTGTGCAGGGTCCCGGCCCGGACACTTATAAAGGATGGCTCTTTAAATGGACCAACTACCTGAAGGGCTACCAGCGCCGGTGGTTCGTCCTGAGTAACGGCCTCCTGTCTTATTACAGGTACGTGCACTGCGTTTCAGTTGATGCGCACGAGGAGCGCTCGAGACTCTCGGCGCGCGTGACTTTGCTGTGTCACCCCTTTCACCGGCCACGGTACGTACATTATCTGACTTTTAACTGAGGTAGAGTTGCGCAGAAGTTTTAATTAAAAGGCCTCTTACCTGTGAGCACCGCATGTTACAGCACAAGTCATTTCTTAGCTGTCCATCCATGCTGCAACAATGCCTCTCCTCCTGTTTATAATTAGTAATGGGGACATCTGAAGCAACTAGCCTAGATCAAGTTTCCACGCTTCTGCAAGGGCCTAACAGAAAACAACACTATTTAACATTATACAGTGTATTTGTATGCAGTGGGGTCTTAGAACACTAGTGATAATGATAAAACCTCTGTTTTCTCATTTACAAAATTGTGCTTTAAAAATATCAGTGTATTCATTTAAGTAAAAAAAAGGGGTCATGAATTTCAGGATATCTTTGTATTTGTTGTCTCTTTTAAGAGGCATGAACTCTTCAAGTTTGTGTAGAACATGATGATGTTCTCCAGCACGATCTGAGAATGTTTCAAAGAACAAACTGTGCTTCATTGGGACATCTGTCCACCTCTATACAGCAGTTTAAATGCCCAATTCAAGCACATTCACCTTAATTTCATTACAGACCTTTGGGACATTCTGTTATCCTGAATAAAAAATGCTTGGTGTTTTGCATATTGTATTTTTAACGCTATTAACATTATTATTCTCATTATGATAATTGCTTTTGTACCCTTCACCTTGTATTCAAGTGTGACTGTAATGCAGCAGTAAATGATGTCTTGCTACTGCAGTGTATCTGGATTTAGTATGGATTTGATATTAACGAGGCTCTTCTGCATTTATGGACTCAGAAATCCTGCAGTTATTTATTGCAGCCTGCATGTAATATTTGTCTGTCAGTCTGGAACTTTCAGTGTCTAACGGCAATGCTGATGTGAGCTGGGTACCAGTAATCGAATACAAATCGGATAAAATACAATGTAATAGCAAATGAGATAAAATTACTAGAGAGAAAATACGGCAATACAATACATAATACAAATAAGAAATACAATACAATAAGTAAATAAAGTAAAATAAAATTTAGTATGATTTTACACAATAATAATATATTCACTCATAATAACAAAATATTGAAACTACATTATTGTTTTTTTACATAATAATTACCCTCAATAATAAATTCCCCTATAATAAAAGTAAATGCTTATGTTTACACAATAGTTACTCACAATAATAAATTCACTCATAGTCATAACAATAAAATCATAAAAAGAAATAATTGTTTTACTCAGTAATTACTCACAATAATAAATTCACTAATAATAATAAAAAATAAATATTATTTTACTCCAAAATTACTCAAAATAATAAATTCACTCATAATAAAAGTTATTACTAAACTAAATTATGTTTTATAGCATAATTAATCATAATAATAAATTCACTTATAATAATAAAGCTAAGTTATTATTTTTTACATAATTACCCACAATAATACATCCCCCAAAAATAATAAAAGTAAATTAATTTTTTACAGCATATGCTACTCACAATAATAAATTCACTTTTAATAATAAAAATAAATAAATATATTTTTACACAATAATTACCCTCAATAATAAATTCTCCAATAATAAAAGTAAATTATAATTTTTACCGCATAACTAGCCACAATAATAAATTCCCCAATAAAAATAAATTATGTTTTACAGCATAATTACTCAAAATAATAAGTTCACGCATAATAAGAAAATAATAAAAAATAACTTCTTATTTTTACACAATAATTACTTACAATAATAAATTACCCCCAAAATAATACAATTATACAAAATAAAATATTTTTACAGCATAATTATTCACAATAATATATTCACACATAATAATACAATTGAAAAATATATTTGACACAATAATTACTCAAGTATAAATTAATTCATAAGTATTTACACAGAAAATGCGCATGAATGATTGACAAGGCTGCTGGTAGATGTTGGAACTGACACTGTTATGTTAGTTAATCAGTCTATCACTAGTATATGGGTGTTTGTGATGGTGTGACTCTCAAATTACTTGCATCTAGTTGCTCCTTTAACCCACGTCGTTGTGTGAATTTGTCTTTAGGACTCAAGCAGAAATGGCACACACCTGTCGAGGCACGATTACCTTGGCGACGGTGCACATAGAGATTGGCGACACCTATCACTTCGTGTTGACAAGTGGGGGGCGGAGCTACCACCTGAAGGCCTATACAGAGGGGGAGTGTCAGCGCTGGGTTTCTGCTCTGCAACAGGCCAAAGCAAACGCCACTCAAATGATGCCCCATTCAGGTGAGTCCTGTCCCAGTGCCAATGAAAAGCATCCCAGGATGCACTTCATAAGGCCAATTCACACTGACCGACGGCGCCAGTCGCCAGATTGCAGCACGTCACTTCTCAGACATTCCAAGAACAATATTCAATGATGTTCAGTCGACGGAAAAGAGAGCCGGCAGACGGCGACTGGTAACACACAGATGCGACACACTGGTAAAACCCAACGGCGTTTGTCTGCGTCTGTCGTTGCAGTGTGAATTAGCCTAAGGCCCATTCACACCAAGGACGATAACTAACGTTAACGATAAAGGTATAGTTCTAAAGATCATTCTTTATATAAAAGAAAGCAGAGTTCACTCACACCACACCTATAACTATAACACTACAGAGAAACAATGTCACTGGAATCACTTTCAGAACTACTTTTTCCAGCTGATGATAAAAACATTGGGTCTCATTCATGAAACATTCGTAAATATACGAGTAAATATGAGAGTGATTTGCGCGTAAAGAGACCTTCCCGAAAACTCTTCTCCTGATTCACAAATACTTCGTAAACGTCAGATGTGATAGTGAAATGTGTGTGTGTGTGTTAATGAATTCCAATCAGTCGTAAATGTGAGCGTACACGCTCATTCTCAATTACCATAAATCCCGCCCATTAAATCCGACTGACAACTATATATGGGCATCATATTATGACACCAAACGAAGGATTTCAACATGTCTTCTCAAAAGTGAATGAAAAAGAAAAATTTCTCAAATGCAGAAATCAAAGTTTTATTATCAGAAGTTCATTCAAAACACCACATTTTATTTTCAAACAGTCCCAGAAGTGAAAACCATATGTAATTACTATATATAATATTTTTTCAAAATGCTGTGTAAATATGTAGGCTACCCGATTAAGGTGAATTAAAATGCAGCCTTAGTTATTAATTAGCAAAACGTTCGGATGTTAAACTCACTATTTACGCGTGGCTGGGAGCAGGTGTAGATTTCTTTCGTACCAACTAACATTTGGAAAATACGAACATTTTAATGAATCCGAAAATTTACGCCAGAACCATTTTACACACGATTTACACAAAAATTCGTTCTGCTCGTGTTTCATGAATGAGAGCCAATCGAGCATTTAAAGGGATAGTTCACCCAAAATTTTAGATTATCCCATAATTTACTCATCCTCAAGCCATCCTAGGTGTATATGACTCTCTTCTTTCAGCCAAACACTATCAGAGTTATATAAAAAAATATCCTGGCTCTTCCAAGCTTTATAATACGAGTAAATGGTCACTTGAGATTTTGAAGCCCAAAAAAGCGCATCCATCCATCATAAAAGTAACCCGTACGGCTCCAGGGGGTTAATAAAGGCCTTCTGAAACGAAGCGATGCGATTTTGTAAGAAAAAAATATCCATATTTATAACTTTATACGCTAAAACCACTTGCTTCAGCCGTGCACGAGTCTAGTTCCGGTGGAAGAGTGACCTCTGACCCGACGCATGACGTAGGATGTAGGAGTAGCGTAAGCTTCGGTGAGAGTAGACGCTGGGAAACAAACTCAAGCTCCTCCAACATTCCTCTTGCAAAATTCAAATTTTAGACTTCTAATTCATGACGGGTGTTTTGTTTTGCTGTATCCACCACGTTTCTCAATACGTCATGCGTCGGGTCAGAGGTCACTCTTCCGACAGAACTACACTTGTGTACGGCGGTTACCAGAAGCCCGGGAATACAGTTTATAAAGTTATAAATATGGAGAATTTTCTTATATATTTTTCTTACATTTTTTTTATATAAAAAAATGTGTAAAATAGTCATGAGAAAGAATGAGTGTGCACATATTCGAATGTTATTGTTTCAATAATCTTTCTTGTTGTTCAGGCTTTAATAATACATCAATCTCAGCCATATACATCATTTTTAAACAGGTTTGCATTCTTATCTTCTCGTTCAGACCAAGAATGATATTTATAACGATAACGATATAGTTCTAAATATATCTTTGTAAATATAAAAGAATAACTGAGTTTACACCATAACTATGGCCATAAAGGCACAGAGAAACGATGTCCTTGGAATCACTTTTCCAGCTGATGAACGATACAAACATTGACGGCCAATCAGAATCCATCCTGCTTTAAAGAGCTCGAGCAGACGGCAAAACTGCTTATGATAAACGCAATATTGTTGTCCGCTGGTGTTGTATATAGTAGAACTAAATATGAATTTCATTTTTCATTTTAGCAGTGCAAGTTCTGTAGAAATGATTTATTGCAGATCTAATCTCTCATGTAAAGGCTGTGAACATGAACGCACAGTAAAATTAATTCCTACACAAAACATTATCATTTAAATTATGCCTCACTCTCGTATATCCCTAAAACAAACTTGTTTAATAAACACCTTGTTATCCCCCTTTACCATTTAAGGCAAAACTTAATTATTTTCTATTATTTATTTCTTTTATTTCTTCTTTAGTCAAATGCCACTAGGGGGTAGCATTGTTTATGATTTTTTTAAGCTTGTTTTTCCTCTCATATTTAAAGTATTCATAAATCCACAATTATATACAAAGTAATTATTATTTACTCATAAATATTATCTTTTAAATGTGTTTTTATGTGTGCGTTACATTTAATTGACAGGTTTCATTTGAAATTAAATAACGCAGTGCACGTCTTACTTTTTATTTCTATCCTCAGAATTCAGTTTTTTTCTGAATTTTGCCTGAAAAAAGATCCAATTTAAGTAAAATACCTATGATATTTTAAATGCACAGATAATTTTCTCTACATTATTGCATTTACACGAGCCTCTCTTTATCCCCAAATGTGATTAATATGCATGACACCTTCCCGTTTGGACCATTCCATCTGCTACTGAATGAAGTGACGAGCATATTAGCTCCGCCCACTGTGCAGGATGGAGAATGTGAGGGGAAAGAGGGAGGGTGAGAAGGAAAACAGGAGCGCGAGGAATGGGAGGGAAGCTTGGAAGGTGACCGAGAGGGAACGCTGCTTCACGCTTTCATTCAAAAAGATTTGAACATCATCTTCACTGCATAAGCATTTGCTCCGTATTTATCAGTGATCCCCTCCTGTCGAGGAAAGGTAGGACAAATTATAAATGCATATGCTTGAATGGCATTTATGCAAAAACATGTCTTTTGTTTAGTGGGAAATAAATTCCGAGTTCATAGATGTTTTTTAGCCAGTGTTTTATTTGAGTAGCCTACTACTTAAAATTTGATGGAATAGTCTGTTTTACATCCTTATTTCAGCCTTGATTTTTGAAAAGTTAAATATGCAGTAGCTTTTTATGATCAGTTACGGGAATGAGTCTATTTTTATAGATGCTCTGAGGCACATTGTGACTGTATCAGTCAATTCCTATCAGTCAACTTGATGTTCGCATGTGGTCACTTGCTCTTTCATGGGCCAAATAAATTGAGCGCTTACAGCTAAATCTCAGGATTTGCATTTGGGAACCAATTGAGCCAATGTTTGACTTCACAACAGCATGAAATGCGTTTTTACATTTTCTGAAAAAAAAACTGTGCGGTGTCGTGTTTGTCAGGGCGTTGCTAGCATGTTCTTGGTGTCAAAACTCCTAGTTTCTTTAAGTCTGGTTTGTCAGCACCTCATTACTGTACACTACCGTGAGAAAGTTACAACACAACTGTGCAAATCAGATTATCTGTGAAGTATGCAGGCTGATGGGCCAAACTGGATAGTCAGACAGCCAGTGAAGATCCTTCTAAGCTTTTCCTCGCTGCACCTCCATTGATGTTGGTCTCCACACTTTGAATCTTCCCTGTTAGGTGTGGTTAGTCAGGGATGAGTCACTCGTCTCTCTCCAGCAGGTCAGGGGAAGGTGATCTTTGATTTATTCTCCAGCGCTGGTGCTTTTCTGAGGCTGAGCGAGCCTCTCTCACTCGCTCTTTTTTTTAATTCTCCCGAATCCCTCCTTCAGGACTCGCTCTGATGGCAGGCTGGAGTCATCATCTGTATGTGGAGGAGTTCTCGCTCTCTCCACTTTCATTCTGCTCTCTAGCTGCCACACTAATCCACTTTTCCCCATTGTTTTCTTGGCAAGCATAAAATTGCAATATTTTGCTTGGATTGGGTTTGGTATGCTTTGGCTTTGATGCAGTTTGGATGGAAAGATTGAATCATGTAATCTTTGCAGCTGCGATTCGCCAACTTGCAAAAAGTTCTTCTAACAAATGTAAAAAAAAGTAGCATGAACAAAGAACAAGGAGAGTCAGCTTATTATTCTGTGTGAACTCAACAAGAATACTAATAAGAATACCAATAAATAAAAGTATTTGTAACAAAAGTTGCTTTGTTGACCTCTATTTGTTCAAAATAGGAATATAGTATAGGAATAGTAATATCGTTTTTGAAATTGGAAATAAAACAAAGTTTATTGGAGTATGTTTTACAAGAAAATACTATTTCAGCCTTCCTACTTAACAATTACGTTTAATTCAATTCTTGCCATTTCTTCGTTACTATTTGTGAAATTTACTAGCAATTCCTGAGTGAAAAGTGTTTCAAAGTAAATCCGACACCAATTTTTTATTGTATGTTGCAAAGACATGCATTAATTTATTATTATTATTTTATAATTTTTTATAGATATTTTTTTTAAAGATATGGCCGATAATTGTTTTCAGTACCTAGTAATTATTGCTTTATTTAAATTTTTTGCTTTTATATAAAACTAATTAATCATAGATAATGCTATATAATAATACTACAATGAAAAACAAAAACAAAACATTGATATTCATTAATATTACTATTTTTATTAATACAATAATATGAAAAGTTGCTATGTAAGTGGTTGGAAATGAATTTTTTTGTGTTTATTTTAGAGCTGTTGAGCTTACAAATATATTATTATGAATGTATTATTAATTATACAATATTTTAATGCTTTTTTAAATGTTTTCTTATTCAACTTATTTAATAAGTTATTTACTATTTTCTTACTTCCAAGGCTGTGTTTATTTGAAATATTATTACAATTTAAAGGAACTGTTTTCTATTTTAATTATGTTAAAATGTAATTTATTCCTGTGATCAAAGCTGAATTTTCAGCATCATTACTCCAGTCTTCAGTGCCACATGATCCTTCAGAAATCAGTCTGATATGATGATTTGATGATCAAGAAACATTTCTGATTATTATCAATGTTGAAACAGTTGTGCTGCTTCATATTTTTTGGAAACTGTGATTAAAAATAACAACCTCTGGATTCTTTGGTGAATAGAAAGGTCACAAGAACAGCATTTATTTGAAATAAAAAACATTATGTGTTACCCATAACTGATAATTTTTAACAACACACAATGTGCTGCTAAATGGGTTTTATTATTATTATTTTTAAACCTTACTGAGCACAATCTTTTGAACAGCAGTGAGTATATGTACACATACACATATACACATATAATCATAATCTGATCAGAGAGCAGCAGGTCATTTAAAGGTCACACTTCTACCCAGCTGATCTGCATTCACTGATGTACAGATAGACTAAGTTTCAGTGAACAGTGTGCCAGCGTGTCGACTGCTCGTCTCTGTGTATCTGCCTCCTACAAGCAAGTGTGTCAAGTGCGTCACACAAGACATGAGGTGATTTACAGCCTGTCCTCGTCTGTTTGCCAGTGATGGCTATGTTGTGTGAGAGAGTAGGCAAAGTGAGACGCATTAGCCCCTTTGGGTTTTTCATTCTCTTTATAACTTCTAAAAATAGCCGTCCTTCCAATTGCGTGGGACCTAGTTTCCATGGTAACCATGTTCATTCACAGAAATCTGGCGTTTGAATGGGTTGTTGTTATGTCTATGATTATGACGCCTCTCTTTCACACTCGCTCATTCCATCACCTACTGCCCACATTCAATTGTGATGTCCTTCAACTCTCCAATGACATCTAAATCTGGATATCTCTCCTTCTGATTGCGTCTTTGTTGCTTTCTTTCTGTTTGAACATGTTATCTTCCTCTCTTTCTTGCTGTCTCCGACGGCCATCTCCTCGGTCCATCTCTGTAGTCATTTCTCAGCATCCATTTAAATCTTAGCTGAAAAATACGCTTGTAATTGAAAAGACCTCCACAAAAGGACTGTGTAAATTCTCAGCTGTCACACCAGACCCCTCCAGCGCCTCGTCTGTGCTATTTATAAACTAATTTTAGTTCAGCCTGTAGTACTGCAGTCAATTTGATCATCTCTGTTGGCTGCAGAATATCATAACACACAATAACGTCACTTATTTAAAGGAATGTGTCGTACTTTCGATTACTACGAGAAGAAATTATGAATCATCCCTTAATTTGCAAAAAAGTGGATACAGAAATTCACTCACAATGGAAATCCAGAGGTTTGTTGAATGCCAAGGACCCCCAAATATGATGACCCCCTGGCAAGGAACCCATTTCTAAAATGTATATATATATTTTAAGGCTCATTTTTACTCTGTGAGGAAAATAGTATGAAAAGACCATGTTTTTTATACATACTTTATACGATATATGTAGTATTTGAGTATTCAATTTTAGGCCCTGCCTTTTATGCACTGCCTCGAGCGTCCATGGTGACGGACTCTGGCCACCATGCTCGATGGCACCGCGGATTCCCCACAGCGGCGAGGACTCTTTGACAGCGCGTTCCTCCTTCTTCCCGGGTTTCGGCACCATTGTAACGGGGTTAGTTGTTATGGGAAGAAGGAGGCGGGAACCGGCGAACGTTCAACAATTTTATAATAAAATAAACAAATACAAAAATGAAAGTAAATCCAGCAGCCCCTCACGGACGACCGCTGGCCACAGAAACAAAACACAACATAAACTCAGGCCTGTTCCTCTCTCCATCTCCACTGTCGTCGCTCCTCCTTTATGCGTCCGCTCCTCCGTGAGAGATGCGAGACCGGTGCGTCTCGCAGGTGTCGTTCATTATCACTCACGCCACCGGCCTTGCGCCGCTCTCTCACGTCCCTCGGCCTCGTCCTGCTCGCCACACAATGCACTTCTTGCTTGGGATTCCTAAAAGCACACTTAACAAACTACATGTGCACAAAATTCTGCTGCTAGGATCCTGACTTGAGTCAGGAGAAATGAGCATATTACAGTATTTTTAAATACTCATAGCTCTTTTTTTTTAGGTTAGCTCTTACTTGACTTTTTCCCCCTTTTTTCTCTCTCCTGTGTGTGTTGTATTTTCATTTCTTTGTTCTATTATGTAAAGGGCCTTGAGAAGCTGCTTTAAATCACTGTTTACTTGTCTTTAGTAATCTTGAAAGTTGTTTTTTATACTTAGGCTAGTAGTCGTTTATTGCGATGTTGAAATTGGTGACAAGAAGAATCATGGTATAAAAAAATGTCATAACCTAATTTAAAGCAAAAATAACTATATGTGATATATATTGTTATCGTGAAATAAAATTACTCCTGATATATAGATTTTGGTCATATCGCCAACCCCTTTTAGGCATGCCTGCACATCCTCTGCTGTCAATGGACATTCGCCTGCAAATTGTTAATTGATGCAACATCTTCTCATTAATTTTCCATCTATTTCTCCATTTATCTCTTTTCTGCAGATGACTCTGGTGATGAGGGCCCACTAGCCCAGCCGGATCGTGCTCTGATCCAGGGGGCGCTCAAGACTCTGGCCAGCAAGCTTGAAGACCTCAGCACCTGCAATGAGCTCATAGGGAAGCACGGTGCCGCCCTCCAGCGCTCCCTCAGTGAACTAGAGGACCTGCGAACCCCCACCGACGGCGCCGATAAACTGAAGACTGTGAACGAGCGAGCCACTCTCTTCCGCATCACTTCCAATGCTATGATCAATGTGAGTCTTATAGTTCAGTGGTTCTCAAAGTGGGGTCCGCGGACCCCTAGTGGTCCGTGAACTATAGCCAGGGGGTCCGCGAAATAATTTATAACAGCCTACCGTTTTTTCAGGACTATAAGTCGTGTTTCGTTATCATTTGAAAACATGCTATTTATTCCAAAGTGACTTATATAATGCATTTAACGTCAAATAATACAAAGTAGACACTTAGGTTTCTAGATAGATAATATATCTGTATTTCGTATGTCTATGCGTCAAGTCTATCCGCTGTGTTTTGGTTGATTTTGGGGCGCGTGCGCCAGAAAGGAGACGGAGACGGCACCTGCATCCTGTTGTTTATTCTTTAATTTTTAATCGCGCCGGCGTCTCGCGTGCGCGCACATATGTCAGTTCTAGCACTGCTAGATTTGACATTAGAAGCCTGATCATTATCAAAATAAAATACAATCAACCGAACTTATATAAAGTTCGGCTTAATTTAATTTATCTGTTGTACACTATGAAGGCAGTCAATCATTCATAGCCTACTGTCAACTTGCTGTTATTCCAATTTCATTTCTCCGCATGTGAAGATGCTGATATGTGTAGGCCTATACTGGGACTGAAGCATGCAGCTTTCTTTACATAAATAGTTAAGCATCCAAATGTTAGGCTACATCGCCAATGTGGAAACTTTGGACCTAATGAGAGATGCACGCGCCCAACGTCTGTGCAGTTTCAGTTTTGATTAAACTTAATTCGTTTAGACTTGATGTTTAAAATAAATGTTGTCTTTATACTATTATTATTTGTATTATTATCTTATAGGGTAGCCTACTTATTTTTCATTCTCATTTTGTTCTGAATAGCTACCATTAATTTAATGTTTGCTGTGGAGTGAGGGGAAGGCTAACGCCTCAACAACGCAACAAAGTAGGCATATTACACATTCAGATGCAACTTATTTAATGGAAAATTAAAAAATTGTGCTGTAATATTTAAAAGTGCATAGGGACAGGGCCGTACCCAAATTGAGGTCCCCAATGTCCGGACCTCTGTCATTTTTCTATGTCTATTGTGTATATAGGCCTAATGAAAGTTGTGAAATAATTGCCTAATATTAACTTAATTTGGTGCTGCAAGGATATTGTACATCGCGATGATAACTGACCTTCTCGTCTGAGCTGCTTCAGCAGACTAACAACAACAGCAGTCAAGTCAAAATGTTCGAGTCGGAGATGAATTCAAAGTAGGCGGGGCTTATGTTCACAGAAGCTGCAAGCCGAGCGCGAATCCCCGCACGATGCTTCAGTTAACGGTCATAAAGTGCGAGATAATATGTATGCCTAAATAGCTAAACTAAACAGCTGTTTTAGATAGAAGTTTTAAACGAACGACTGAAACAATACGTTTGCAAAGTATCCATCAAAGCTCAGCTTTGGGAAAGAAAATAGCTACAGGTCAAGAGAAGCATCCTGTGCCCAGGATGAGATTAACATTATGGATTCCTAACACAGATATACTGTATGTTTTTTAGCTAATTACAGTGGGTATAAGCTCAATTTAACAGCACACGCACCTATTAAACATATTGCCATTATTATTGTATAAATATAGGCTAAGGCTAGGCTATATTTTTTTGTGCAGAATAATCCTTGAAACATTTCTCATTTAAGGCCATTCCTGTTTGGAATATGTGATTGAGTTTTGATATAGCCTGTGAACAATAATCATATACATTCTGCATTTCCATTTGGATCATTCATTGTAAAATTTAAACTGTCATCTTGACAAAATAATGTATGCCACTGCCCACTGACATGCTTTTAAAGCTATAGTTATCCAATTTGTGGGCCTTAAAACACCTTATAATGCACATGTGTAGATCAAGAACATCAAAAATCCCTCGGGGGGGGGGGGGGGGCATGCCCCCCAACCCCCCTAGCGAGATCACTTTTGGGACCTCAGTAGGCTATTTAGAAATTCCTGCATAGGACCCTGGGTGGAGACCGCATTTGTGCACAAATATTTTATTAGCCGCTCCCACATTAACTTTGTGCTCAATCACTGTTATAAATATGAGGGGGTCCTTGGAAATTTTTTTTCCCCTGTAAGGGGTCCCTGGCTCCAAAATGTTTGAGAACCCCTGTTATAGTTGACTCTGCATACTAAACGAAATTAAATGAATGATGAATCTAAATGATTGGTTTTGGGATCAGGCCTGCCAGGACTTTGTGGATCTAGCGGAGACTCACAGCCGGCGGTGGCAGCGTGTGCTGCAGTATGAAAGGGAACAGCGCCACCACCTGGAGGAGACCATCGAGCAGCTAGCCAAACAGCACAACAATCTGGAGAGAGCCTGGAGGGAAGCGCCCAGTACACACAATAGTGAGACTTTTTGACTTTTTTCTTCCATCGAGGACAAAAGAAGTTGTTTTGCTGAATGTCCAAGCTACCTTTTCTCTACAATGAGCGTGAAGAGTGAACTTTGGCCGTCATGCTCCAAAAAGTACAAACAGAATAGAAAACAGTTATTTTAAATTGGAATACTATTTAACAATATTACTGTTTTTACTAAATTTTTGATCAAATAACTGCAGTCTTGGTGAACATAATAGACTTTGTTCCAAAACAATACAAATCTTAATGACCCCAAACTTTTGAATGGTGGTGTAAAAATGTCTATCTTTATCATAAAACTGCATTTGTAATAATGCTGACCTAGCACTAAGTGAGATTTCCCATGTGTTGCTCTTCAGAAGTGGCGGAACGAACACCGGAGGGGGAATCCAGTGAAGAGAATGAAGACATAGAGTTCTTTGATGCCATGGAAGATTCTCCAGCCTTCATCACAGTGCCTGCAGAAGATCACTCACAGCACAGGTTCATATATAGATCATATAGTTGATGGCTTTTACTCACTGAACCAGACACACACACACACACAATCAAATCACTGACCATCTGATACATATAAAAGGAAAAGAGTTTGATTAAATAACAAGATCAGATTTGATTGGCTGACTGTTCACAATTTCTGGAAGTCAGAGTGCCCAGGTTTTACTAGCTCACTTAGGATAATTTACACAATTGGTTTAGCCTTTTCAGTTAATTATCATTTGTGCACTGAAACTGCTGCACTATTATTCTAATATTTTTTAGGTGTCATCGATTTCAGATGTAAGTGGCATGTAAGAACAAAATGAATTGCGTTTTTCCATGTCAGTTAGATGGCCTTTCCCTGTATAATGGGCAGTTCTTTTGCCAAAATAAATGAATGCGATTTGGAATATTTGTAAATATTATGAAACAAATTGTTTTTCAGCATTTATGTGTTATCTACTCTGTGCCTGAATAATGATCTTCCGTTTCATCCTTCTCTTGTGTTTCTCTGTGTGTCTCTCAGACACTTGAGCAGTAACCAGAGCGTGACAAGTGGAAGTTTATCCAGTAATTGGAGCCAGGGCGACAATGTAGGTTTGGGCTTTTGTTTAATTAACATATCCAAACTAAACCACACATATGCCAAATAATGTTAAATATCTTAATTAAAGGGTTAGTGTACCCAAAAATTTAAATTCGGTTATCATTTACTTACCCTCATGTCATTCCAGACCCATAAGCCTTTTGTTCATCTACGAATCGAAACACAAAATAAGATATTTTTAATGAAATCAGATATCTTTCTGTCCCTCCATTGACAGTCTACACCACTACCACTTTGATACTCTAAAAACTTCATAAAGAATAAAACCCTAAATTCAATCTGCTCATCATATAAAGCGATTGTCTCTTCAGAAAATTTGGACTAAACCGCTCAATTCATATGGATTTTTTTTTACGATCTTTTTGTGAACGGTTTGAAGCGTCAAAGTGGGTGAATAGGCTTTCAGTGGAGGGACAGTTCATAAGATTATATTGAATATAATAATAATAATACATTATACATAACTCCTTAGTTTGTAAGAAATTAAAACTTTTATTGCATTTATCAAAAGCAACCGTAAAGATATTTACAGTCGTAATCAAAATGATTCAACCCCCGTTGCAAATCAGGTTTATTGGCAAAATGTACAGACTCTCAGCTGTTTGCAATGAACAAATCAAACAAAAGTAATTGAAATAGCACAAAAGTAATTGAAATAGCTCAACACAACAAATGTTTCAAGTGGTTTCCCCAAATTCAACTGAAAATGCAACTTTTATTGACTTCTGCAGTCTCAACATTATTCAACCCCCTGAATTGAATCCCTCACAACAGCACAAATCTTCAAAACAAGTGTTGTCTCAAGCATACCTGATGCAACTAAGATATCAAGGGCTTCATTAGTTGCAGCAGGTGTGCTTGAGCTAGAACACATGAAATATCTGAACTGGCTAGGCTTGTTGAGTATCACGTTTGACTGGATGTTAGAAAGATGGTCAAAAATAAGTCAAAAGAATGGTCCAAAAAGTTCGAAGATATCATCGCCCTTCACAAACAAAGAATAGGATACAAAAAGATAGCTAAAGCACTAAATGTACTAAACGCATGCTAGAACTCCAAGACATACACCACTACTGACCCAAAAGCACAAGAAAAGTTTGTTCAAAATCATATAAATAAGCCACAGACGTTTTGGGATTCTGTTCTGTGGAGCGTTAAAGCATAACTGGATCTTTTCAGCCCTATGGATCAGTGGTATGTCTGGAGGAAGAAGAATGAAGCATATGCCGAAAGAACTCTATCCATAGTTAAGCATGGTGGGGCTCGGTGATGCTCTGGGGCTGCTTTGCATCCTCTGGCACTGGAAACCTGCAGCGTGCGGAAGGCAAGATGGATTCATTGAAGTTCAGGAAATCCTAGGAGAAAATGTCATGCCCTCAGTGAGGAAGCTGAAGCTTGTGCGTCATTGGACCTTCCATCAGGACAATGATCCCAAGCATTCCTCAAATTCCACCAAGGCTTGGTTGCAGAAGAAGTCCTGGAAGATTCCACAATGGCCACCAGTCACCTGACTTGAACCCCATAGAAAATATCTGGTGGGATTTGAAGAAGGCGGTTACAGCACGCAAACCCAATAATGTAACTGAACTGGAGGCCATTGCTCATGAGGAATGGGCTAAGATTCCTCAGCATCGCTGCCAGAAGCTGGTGTCTGGTTATACATCTCGTTTGCAGCAGGTCATGACAGCAAAAGGGTGTTCTTCTAGTACTAAAGATGCTTGCCATGAAGGGGCTGAATAATTTTGAGACTGCAGAAGTCATTAAAAGTTGCATTTTTAGTTGAATTTGGGGAAACCACTTGAAACATTTGTTGTGTTGAACTATTTCAATTACTTGTGTTTGATTTGTTCATTGCAAACAGCTGAAAGGCTGTACATTTTGCCAATAAACCTGATTTGCAATGTGGGTTGAATAATTTTGATTACAACTGTATAATGTCACAAAATATTTTTATTTCATCAAAGAATCCTGAAAAAAAAGTATAACGGTTTCCACAAAAATTTGAAGCAGTAGAACCGTTTTCAACATTGATAATTAAAAGAAATGTTTTTGAGCATCAAATCTCAGCATATGAGAATGATTTCTGAAGGATCATGTGACACTGGATTTATATCACAATCTCTTTATGAATGTTTTGAAGCGTCAAAACGGGTGAATATGATTTCAACGGAGGGACAGATATCTCAGGTTTCATTAAAAAACATCTGCATTTGTGTTCTTAAGATGAAAGAAAGTCTTGCGGGTTTGGAACGGCAAAAACGATGACAGAATTTTCATTTTTGGGTGAACTGTCCCTTGTGCTTGTTCACTAGAGGGTTTTCTCTGTGTTTACAGGACAGTTCTGGTAGCTACTTGCGCAGGGGCAGACGCTGTCGCATCCCAGATAAGCCCAACTACTCCCTGAACCTGTGGAGCATCATGAAGAACTGCATTGGCAAGGAGCTCTCCAAGATCCCCATGCCTGTAAGTGGAGTCTCAGATCTGGTGTGTTGTGTAGCTGCTGATATCTGAATCTTCACGGGGATTTGCGTGCGTCTGAATCCTCACTTCCAGGTGAACTTCAACGAGCCGCTGTCGATGCTGCAGCGTTTGACGGAGGATCTTGAATACAGCGAGCTCCTGGACCGGGCGGCACGCTGCGACTCCTCTCTGGAGCAGATGTGTCTGGTTTCCGCCTTCTCCGTCTCGTCCTATTCAACCACCATCCACCGCACTGGGAAACCCTTCAACCCTCTGCTGGGAGAGACCTATGAGCTGGACCGCGTGGAGGAGTACGGATACCGCTCCATTTGTGAACAGGTCCGAAACCACACTCATAATACACAAATATTATTTATAATAAAAAAATGTATTTAATAAATCAGAAATGAGGATAATAATAATATTATTGATAATACTTTATAAATAAATCCTTATTATGCACCTTTGTTCAGTAGACATATTTTAAAGAAATTAATACTTTTATTCAGCAAGGATGGATTAAATTGATAACTGAACGTGACATTAAAGACATTTATAATTTTACAAAAGATTTCTATTTCAAATAAATGCTCTTCTTTTGAATTTTCTATTTGATCAAAGTTTCCACAAAAATTTTAAGCAGAACAACTGTTTTCAACATTGATAATAATAGTAAATGTTTCTTGAGCATCAAATCATCATATCAGACTGATTTCTGAAGGATCATGTGGCACTGAAGACTGGAGTAATGATGCTGAAAATTCAGCTTTGATCACAGGAATAAATTACATTTCTAAATATATTACAATAGAAAACAGTTATTTTAAATTGTAATATTTCCCAATATTGTCAGTGATTACACGCACATTGATTATCTCTCTCTCAGATAAATCATCACCCACCGGCGGCTGCCCATCATGTGATATCGCAGCGAGGCTGGACCCTGTGGCAGGAGATCACCATCGACAGCAAATTTCGTGGCAAATACATCTCCATCATGCCACTAGGTGATCCATCATGAGCAATGAGTCGCCTCTCAAGGACATTCACATCATCACACACACAAAACTATTGAATAGTTTCCACTTTTCTAGTTTATTATGCACACAATCCAGAGTTACCTTAAAACCTTGAGGGAATATAAAGCAGAACAAAACAGTAATAGTATGTGAACTCTATAAATGTTTTAATCACATTACATTTTTTAATTCAAATACTTGTTACCTAGATTCACTTTGTGCACATGCAAATGTATATATAGATGTGCTGCTTCCCGGTAAACGTTACTTCAAAGGAAAATTTCATTTGTGGAATGGTTTCTATTTTTACAGAGCCTTTTATATACTAATGTTTATTGCAGCTCCGAGCTGTTTTTAGAGCGAATCAACCTCGTCGGCTTTCATTTCCAGGTACATTTCTTCTTCTCATGCTGTTATTTGCTCATAATGCCTCTGTTTGCTCTCTGCAGGCAACATTCACCTTAAGTTCCATGCCAGTGGGAATCACTATGTGTGGAGCAAGGTGACCTCCACTGTGCACAACATCATCGTGGGCAAACTATGGATTGACCAAGTACGTGATCGGTTTTGTATTACGCTCACTTTAATGTCGTTCCAAATCCAAAATCACCATGAAAGTATCATTAAAGTAATCCATATACTGTATATGTATCAGTATTATTAATATACAATTATAGTACCTATGAATATTTGTAATTCTTTTTATATATTTTCTATTATTGTTTCAGTATTTTTTTGTGCTTTTGTTATTTTTGTTTGTTTAAATACATTAATTTAGCTTTATTTCAATTAACGAAAATACATTTCAATAGTTTTAGTTAATAATATGAATGCCATATTCACAAGTCATAATTCAATATTCAATAGTCATAAGTCTTCTGAAGCTGTACAATGAATTAATTAAAAATCATAAATTCAATAAAAATCTTTATTTTTGCTCTCAAATCCAACATGGCACCATTTTATGTTATATCAGGTTTAATGGAAGAAAAAAGTCATTGGTGTGCAGCAACATAAGGGGGATTAAAATATGATTTTTCATTTTTTTTTCAATATTTATGGTTTGAGTCCTCCCACGTGGTGTGGCATTACTCATCTTCGACACTATCTGTTGGAAAAAAGTCACCATTGACAATGTTCTCCTCCATCTGTCTTCCACCCCATCATTCCCACTCCAGAGGAAACAGGAAGCTATTATTACAGTTATATATTGTATCAGTGGGGGATGCAGTTTAAATTAATTTACCATCAAGGCATGCATTAAAAATAGACCCTAATATATATATATATATATATATATATCCCTTAATTCTAATGCACATAACTGCTCTCATCACTGCAGCTCTGTCATTATTATTAATGTACACTCTTTGTCCCGATGCAGTCTGGGGACATTATAATAGTGAACCACAGGAGCAAGGACACGTGCCACCTCAAATTCTCCCCTTACAGCTATTTTTCCAGGGATGTTCCCCGCAAGGTCAGTGTGTGCATCCTCTGTTCAGTCTGTGTGCTACTGCCCTCTGCAGGGTATTGAGTGTGTCTGTGTGTCCTGTCACCAGGTAACAGGCGTTGTGACGGACGGGGAAGGAAGCGCACACTACATTCTCTCTGGAACGTGGGATGATAAAATGGAAAGTGCAAAGATCATAGAGAGCAGCCACGGCTGTGGAGGATCTGAGGGAAAGCAGAAAACTGTCTATCAGACTCGACCACCACAACTACTGTGGAAAAAATACTCTCTCCCGTAAGAATCAAACTATAACTATCTGTCTATCTATCTATCTATCTATCTATCTATCTATCTATCTATCTATCTATCTATCTATCTATCTATCTATCTATCTATCTATCTATCTATCTATCTATCTATCTATCTGGCTTTTTCCTTCCTCTATCTATCTATCTATCTATCTATCTATCTATCTATCTATCTATCTATCTATCTATCTATCTATCTCTTTTTCCTTCCTTCCTTTATCTATCTGTCTATCTATCTATCTATCTATCTATCTATCTATCTATCTATCTATCTATCTATCTATCTATCTTTTTCCTTCCTTCCTTTATCGATCTACATATCTATTTTTTTCCTTCCTTCCTTCCTTCCTTCCTTCCTTCCTTCCTTCCTTCCTTCCTTCCTTCCTTCCTTCCTTCCTCTATCTATCTATCTATCTATCTATCTATCTGTCTGTCTGTCTGTCTGTCTGTCTGTCTGTCTGTCTGTCTGTCTGTCTGTCTGTCTGTCTGTCTGTCTGTCTGTCTGTCTGTCTGTCTGTCTGTCTGTCTGTCTGTCTGTCTATCTATCTATCTATCTATCTATCTATCTATCTATCTATCTATCTATCTATCTATCTATCTATCTATCTATCTATCTATCTATCTATCTATCTATCTATCTGTCTTTCTTTCTCTTTCCATCCATCAATCTATCTGGGTTTTTTTCATTCCTTCCTTTATCTGTCTGTCTGTCTGTCTATCTTTTTATATTTTTATTATTTATAATGTGTAAATTATACATTTCTTTTTAATATTTTGTTCAGTAAATGCATCTTTCTATACATATCTCGTTTTGTCTGCTGTAATTCCAGCGAGAATGCCGAGAACATGCATTTCTTCTCTTCTCTGGCCTTGACTCTGAACGAGCCTGAGGATGGTGTGGCTCCTACTGACAGCCGTCTACGGCCCGACCAGCGGCTGATGGAGGCGGGTTTGTGGGACGAAGCTAACGCTGAGAAACAGCGTCTGGAGGAGCGTCAGCGACTGGAGAGGAGGAAGAGAGAGGCGCAGGCCAACCTCGCACTAGAAGAAGGCAAGACAGAACCACAAACACTCATACCGTTTCAATATACAGTACATACAGTGCAGTAAAGCTGTAGGCTAGTATTCTTTTATCTCAATAAAGATGTTTTGTCCTGGATTTGACAGGTAAAGAAGCGGAGAGGTACCAGCCAATGTGGTTTGAGAAAAGGACTGACACAGAGACAGGTGAGAGCAGCTTCGTGTACAGAGGAGGCTACTGGGAAGCCAAAGACAGACAAGACTGGAATCAGTGCTCTGACATCTTTTGAGGCCTCTCTTCCACCAGGACCAGCTTGTCTTTCCGAATCATCTTTCCCATTCCAAGGAGTTTCAAAGATGTGGAATATACTGATTCTGTTCAGTCTCTACTAAGGCACCCACATGTATATAAATATATATCTTAATTTGGAGTGTATTCATGGGGGCATTGGGACACCTGTATCGTAGCAGGGAAAATTCACATTGCAAGGGGGGGGGGAAAAGAACATTTTTAAGCACAAGAGACAGAGGCACTTTAAAAATGTCACAGTGAAAGATACTAATAACAGTAATGATCTGGGGATTGTAACACTTCACCAGGGATAAGATTCTTCCTCAGAGCTTTTGCTGATTGCTTCAGGTTAACTGTATGATAGCCATGATGAATTATCCACCGGCGTGTGATAAAAGACATTCAGAGCACATGCTACTCTTGAAGTATGGAGACCGAATGCCCTCAAGACTGTGTTCCTGTAGTATATAGATTAAATGCTGTGTAGGATCAACAGTGCAAACATGCTCCATTAGCAACCTAGATACAATCCAGATCAGTGTATTGATGTTGCTTTTACAAAATAACAATTATCAAAGCTAATTTATTAGATGCGAGAATTTCTTTTTAGCTGCCTGTTTAGTTATTTAGCACAAGCGTAATGTAAATGTCATTGTGTAGGTGATGAATTACGGCTTAATTGAGATTCTCCATTTAGAGTCATGGTTAGACGTGTGCAAACATGCTAAAACATCCAGCTACAATTCAACTGCGCATTTATTTAGTTAAGTAGATGAATTAATAATACATTGCACATCGTGAAGTATTACTCGTATGCATGCAGTGCAGATTTTTGGAAATAATTATGCAAAATTAAGCATGCACATCAACAGATTTGTTCATATATTTGTCTAACACTCACAGGAAAGTACACAGTATCGGATCACATTTTAGGGTGTTTGCAAACCTTTGGCCTTGACTGTATTGTCAATAACTAACAAACATTTTGTGGTGGCAATACTTCCTAGTTTTCAGTATTAGCAGCTGAAGCACACTAACACTAAATACACCCTTCATGCTGCAAGGGAAAGTGGTCTGGAATACTGACCGTAAACTGTAACCAAAACCGAGATGAAGGAAACTCATATTTAGGCATTAAAAACTTTCAGAATATGAGCAGAGCAGTGTTGTATGACTATGTACACTTCAAATGAGAGTATACCATGTCAGGAACTGTGTTTAGTACATTGTGAAAAATGTAAAGGACTGATTGAACTTCATATTTACTGTCTGTGTTTGAGTTTTTCAACCACAAGCAAGTGTCTTCAAAGAATTCCTTGAGATCCTCAGCACCACAACCACTGCAAAAACTACACTTTCCATGTATGCAGTATTTTCCAGATATATAAATAACTTTAGCTGATTATTATAACTATATAAATTGATTAAAAAATATTCTGATATGGTGATGTTGAATGTGTTGGACCTTCCAAGGACTCTTAAAGTTCATCTCTCTAAAATGTTCACTGTAGATTATGTTTATTTGTCTTGGTTGATAATAAACATAATAATCTGAATATGTAATAGATTCAAACGAATGATGAAAACAATAATTATTTGATTAATATTTCAAAGGTTATCAATGGTTTGTTTTGTAGCATTTCAGTACTCATCACGGCCAGTAGGAAGCTCCAAAGTAGTTGGAATAGCACTGGAGCATAATTTGGAAAAATTATGCAACACAATGTTGTTTTAATCTTCTAGAAGCAATTTAGTCTCCTGGCAACAATATATCCTGAAATCTACAGGGTGAATTTAAAAGTGAATTTATTTCATGAACAGGCAAGACAGAATTTTATGCTGTATATGCATTTTACATTGATAAAATGTCTGAATGTTTTATTCAACATTGATACTGTGAAGTGAATATGATGGGTGGCAACATTGCTCAGTTAATCACCTTTATATTCACATCGCTGACCACTGCCGTTAATGGAAGATCCTGATCCACTGGTTCAGAACGGCAACGTACTCATTTACTCACCCTCAGGTTTTACCAAACCTGTATTTCTTTCTTCTGCTGAACACAAGTGAAGATACTATTTTGAAGAATGTTGGTAAACTGTTGACTTCCAAAGTATGGGAGAAATGGTGCCCACAAAATTATCTTCTTTTGTGTTCAACAGAAGAAAGAAACTCATACAGGTTTGGGTGAGAAAATGATGACAAGAGTTCACATTTTAGGTGAACTATCCCTTTAATCAGGTTAAACATGCCATCTAAAATAACCATTATCTAATAAGTCACAGGCCTTAATCAGTCAAGCTTATCTTGCCGTATAACATTGATTGTAAAATGTAGCCTTTAGTGATGCGAGTGACATTTTTAAATATTGTCATGGAAATCTAAAGGCTTTATTGGAAGTATTGTTAACCTTGTTTCAATTTGAGTTAAAGTGTTTAAATATAGAAAGCAATAGCCTACATAACGTGATTATAAAATAAAAAGGTGTGAAAATAAAAGGGACATGTTAAAAATAACCAAAATATAGCCTATAAATAGAAAACAATAAAATTGTCAATCGAAATGTCTGTTAACGAAATGAATAAATAAACAAACACGCAATCTTTGAGATGCTCAACAAGGCCTTTTTTTATGAAACTTATTGTCCTCAGCACGCGATGGGTCGGCCACCTCTCAGCGGGCGCAGCGAATCAATAGACGGGTGACGTATGGCACAGCTGATCTGGCAACAACTGGAGCTGAGCTCACAGAAAGAGCTGAATGTGTCTCCGCGCAGGATATTATTAAACACATCTAGCTTCAGCAGTGCGGGGGAAAGGTAAGTGACGACGCAAATGCTTTTTATCATACTGTGCAATCGGACACTGGTAGTATTATAGGCTAACGTTACTCTGTTGATGCGGACTGGTTAGTTGTTTATTTCCTCTGTGAGGGTCTTGCTAGTGTCATTGATTTATGAAACGTTTTGCTTCCACGCTTCACTGGACGTGACAATTAGCGTACGATGTGGCGATCAAGACAAGTGCATCCTTGATATAATCCGACAGTCGCATTACCAAGCGAATATAAGAATATATTAATATAACAAGGAATATATGACACGTTTAAGCTTGAACAACCTCCATTGAAACTATACGGGACATAAAATATACCGATGCTGCGGTGAATAGACGTCATCGACCAGCGTCATTTGTACACAATGTACGACCTTGTTGTTTTATTATGCAGCGCATTGAACGTCTCATGTTACTGTTTAAACTCACAACTAAGTAATTGTTGGTATATGTGGCTAGGCTGTATAGTCGACTCGTCGCAGTTTCAGTCGCCTTGCTGCGCTGTCAATCTAAAAGCCACCGACAGCAGTGAAGTCAGCGACAAACGCATTCAGCGACTCACTATCCCGACTGTTTAATTACCATAGCCACTCGTTTGTTTAGGATTTGCTTATACTGAATCATTTACATAGAGTATTTTGAATAAACAGGGCCCACCAATCCAAAACAGGCAGGGCAACACGAGCCGATTTCTGATTGGTAGACTCGATGGATTAATTTCCCTGCGCGCCCCCGGTGTCGTGAGAAAACGGGTGCTCCCTCGAAATCTGTCTACTAAATAATACACACTAACAACATTAAAATATGTTTATAATAGCTGGGTACTATATAGAGCACAAGAAAACCAATTTTCAAATATGTATTCGGGCATACTTCTCTGTTGGCATACAGTTTTTCGCATTCTATATAGTAGGGAAGTGATTTTTGGACACACACTGAGCATTACAGTAACTCGAATCATTCGCTGATCATTAACAACTCGAATCATTCGCTGATTCGCTAATTCTCTAATTACGTAAAGCATAGGCCTAATTACTCTTTCCATTCTGGCAATATAAAGATTGAAATATCGTTAGAAATAGTAAGTATTTTATTAGTATTTTACTTCCATAGTATTTTATTCCCCATACTGAAAAACTGTTTGGTTACCCATATTCTCCAAAATATCTTATTTTGTGTTCAGCAGAAGAAAGAAATTCATACAGTTTTAGAACAACTTGAGGGGGTGAGTAAATGACAGAATTTTAATTTATGGGCGAACTGTCCCTTTAAGAGGGCACATGAATAATGATGTGCATGGTTAAATGATATCTTTTAATAAAATGCTACAATATTCCATAAAAAAAAGGATTGTCGATTTTGATCTTACGATGACTTATATAGTATACAAGTGATAGAGTGAAAAGACCGCAAGTGTAGGTTTTGGGACAGGCCCTAGGAGTATGCTATTTCGAGTCATAAGAGTCGAGATTCCTTCAAAAGAACCGATTGGTTCCCGAATGAAACACCACTACCTCTCATCAGACTCTCATGCCTAAAACAAACGCCCGTGCCTTAACGTTACGTCACAAACCAGACCCACGTAACACGTGTCGGAATGTTGTTTCTGTCTGCTTCCAAAACACACGGTTGCTATAGCGGGTTAAGATACAGGACAACACACACGGCTTCAGACCTTCAACAGAGAGTGAATACTGACTCGTATTGCTACTATGTCCTGATTTTTGTATTTGACGAGATGAATTATTCATTTACGTTGCAAACTTAATATGTGTTTACCCTGCAGGTGCGAAGATGAAACGAACATGATCAGTACCAATGGCCCCTCCACCAAGTGCGCGGAGACCCGGGACACCGGGAAGAGAGAGAGGACGCCGCCAGAAATGCTTCACCTCATGTTCGCGGTCTCCGTGTGGCTGGTGACGGGCTCCACCATATCCAGCCTCAACAAATGGATATTCACCGTGTACAATTTCAGATACCCGCTGCTTCTGTCAGCCCTCCACATGCTGACGGCGATAGTGGTGGACTACGGGCTGATCAAATGCAGGGTTATCCGGCACAGGGGCATCGGCGAGCAGGATTTAACCGCCAACGCCAAATTCAAAGTGTTCCTGTTGAGTTTGACATTCTGTGCCAGTATCGCGTTTGGAAACGTGGGACTGAATTATGTGCAGCTTTCGTTCGCACAGATGATCTACACAACAACGCCGCTGTTTACTCTGGCGATTTCCACGCTGATTCTCGGAAAGCAGCACCACATCCTGAAGTACACCGCGATGATGCCCATCTGTCTCGGGGCGTCGTTCAGCATCATGGGCGAGGTCCAGTTCGACCAGATCGGCTGCCTGTTTGTGTTCGCCGCCACCATGTTAAGAGGCGTAAAAACCATTCAACAAAGTAAGTAATGGGCGTTGGGAATTCGAATTGGAATTCTTTTAAGCGGACCGATTCATTTTAGTAAACTTATTATCACTCAAATGATACATTTTTTTTTGCAGTCTACATTTACGACTGTTTTAGATCTAGTTATACAGATTCAGGGTTTTCAATGTCATTTAAAACCTGGGAATATTAGGGAATTTTAACTTTATAATTCCAGACCTACCTGGAAAGTCATATAGCCTAGAAATTGATAGATGTATTAAAGATTTAGAACGTTCTACAGCGACATGTCTTATGTTAAAGGGTTAGTTTACCCAAAAATGAAAACTATTCCATAATTTACTCGCCCTCAAGCCATCCTTTTCATGGATGGATGCGTTTTTTTAGGCTTCAAAATCTAAGGTTGGCTACCATTCACTCCCATTATAAAGCTAGGAAGAGCCAGGATCATTTTTAATAACTCTTGTGTTTAGCTGAAAGAATAAAGTCATATACACCTAGGATGGCTTGAGAGTGAGTACATTGTGGGATAATTAATTATTTTTTGGTGAACTAACCCTTTAAGCTTTAAGATACTTCATTGTAATAAACAAGTTTTTGTAAGGGCAATGCCTATTTGATTAAAAAAAAAAAAAAATCCATATACTGATCTGTAAAAGTCAATGTAGAGTCAGAGAAATTAATTGGTCAAATTAAGGCAAGTATATTTTGCGTTATTCCTAGACAAGTCAAATGATTCATAAAGCCTTTCGAATCGTTTCAACCGAATCATCAAAAAGAACCGGCTCACAAGAACAATTCGTTCGCGAGTCGGATGACTAGTGATCTTTCTCATAACCCTCTTCTCAACTGCAGAGCCTTTTCTTGATCAGTTTGACAATAAAACATGTTAAAAATTTTAGAAAGGTATTTGATGATGTATCTAAATTCATCATCATAATTTAAAAGGTCACTGGCTATTTTATTGACATATGAAAATATTCTTAACCAAATGTTCCTGTCAGCAGAGCCTATTTTTGTCTCAATAAGGCTAGTTCTTGGTCATTATGTTCCACACTGCTGTAACTTCCTAGTGTCTGTCTGAGTCAGAGTGCAGGACGTCCTGTCCCAGAGACCCACGAGCGACTACATGCTGCTGTTGTTCTCTAACCCGATCTACCAAGTAGCAAATGAACTCACAGTAACAGATGGGGATTAACTACTTAACTGTTTTTGATTTCTTAAAATGAGTGTCAGTTGAGCTCCATTACACTAAGTGACCTCCTCCCTGGAATAACTAGGCATCTGGCTCTGAGAACATCAAGGAGTGAGAGAGCGGAGTGAGGGCGAGAGTCTGCGCTTTAGTTTACTGGGAGAACCGGTTTTGGGTTGAGTCTTTTTGACTTAGTTATAGTTATTGTACTGTTGCATAACATAACCTACAGCTTGCATACAAGCTAAATGGGCAGTGGCTTGTTTTTAACAAATTGAACTTTGCTTGTAGTGTAGGTATACAAGAAAAAATATGATGTGTCAATATTAGGAAACCAAGAATTAACAGAGGCTAAGTATTTGCCTCATTGAAAAATCTGGCTCGTATTATTATTCTTAATATTTTTAATAATTAAGATATTTAAATGATTCATATCTCATAGAAAACTGGGAAATTTGAGGGAATTAAATGTTTTTTCAGAGTTTGTAATTATATGAATCAGCTACTTTGCTTTCTTGGTCCAGGGGAGATCCTCCATGAAGACTTCTCTTGCTCATCTGTTGGTGTTATGTTTCAGTGCACTATTTTAGTTTCATCACAGAGGTTCAACTTGTTTACTAAATGCATTACACCATAGCTCAACATGCGCTTTCCTAAATGACAATCCAGATGGGCAAAAAATATGTGTCACTAAGTATAGAGCGCAACAGTTGGGTTACGGTAGTAAAAATCCATTCAATTTCCCTATAGGGACTTCTAAACCTTATAGTATAACCCTATACTTATAAACCTTTGAAGTCTAAAGGCCCTTGCACACACTGAGTCCAAAATTTTCCGCACGTTAAAAAGTAAATACGACATCACCTCACGTTATGTCAATCACGCTTGCACACTGCGTCCGAAACTTTCGTTCGTCATGAAAAAAATCGGATCGGGTTCGATTTTCTGCATTTTCGCAAACCGTTCGAATGGTGTTTTGACAATTCAGAGCCACCGAATCACGAATACGAAAAAACGCATACGAAAATTTCGGAGTCAGTGTGCAAGGGCCTTTACCGTGAACAACAACATTACCCATGATGCTGTACAAAAAAAAGTCACTAATCCTACGTTCTCAAAATACTTCAATATTTGACTATTATAATATTTGGGGGTTAACGGTACACAAACATGACAGTTCGGTATTGAAGTCACGGTTCAGTACAGCAGAGGGGAGTAAACTAAACACAACATTTTTTAACAAATGTGTATATGTGTTTAAATAAATTGTATCATAATTACAATTTTCTATGATAAAAAAAACCTATCTTGGCTAATGCTGTAAACAATATAGTGGGAGCCCTTCATTACACATTACTTTAATATTAAAGTGTCACAATTAACAAGAGAGCCCAAATTATTAAATTCAGTTGCTATTTATTTTTAGATATAATAATCAACACAAGTACATAACATACTGTAAATTGCACATAAGGCAGGTTTTGCATTAACTTCTAAATCTAATTATAAAGTTAATGTTCTACTGCAATTCATTTTTGAAATATAATAATTTACACAGTGGCTGTCATAACTTGTTTTCATGACAAATTTATTTAAACATACATTAAATAATCAAGACATTATACTCACAGGTTAAGTAGATATAATGAATAGGCTAATATAGTGAATATACGAAATGCTTCTCTCTAGAGTTCGTTTCTCTAGCGAACTAACCTGCTGTCAACACTATGCCTGAGGTAAATGTAACGCTACGTGAGATATTATTCTCAAGGTTTTTTATTGATATATATAAAATCAACATTTTTAAAGGTGCAAAACGCAAGTCTCTGAGTTTTTGCAGAACTACGCCCCCTCTGGCGACAAGTGAAACTGCAACCAATTCTGATTGTACATGTATCTAGCTTACGCTAAAGCATTACACATTTTACGCATCGTTATTTGTTGTCATACATAGATTGGCCGTATCAAACATTAGAGACTGGGCTATATCTTACCGTTTTATCAAGAAAAAAGCCAACTGAGGATCCCGTTTGAGACCAAGAGCAGACCGGAGATCTCTCCATTTGTTGAATGCCTTCCCGAGGTTGATTCTCGTCTTACACCGACGCCTTGACTACAATTTGGACCTTTTGGTGGCACTAGACAAAATTGTTCTTTTCTTTACTTTACGTGGAGTTGGGGTTTGGAATGGACTACAAGCCGGTCTCTTTGAATCCATCTTCTACCTTTGACGCACGAGTTGTCTTCGCTGATGCGGAGAATGGCGGCGCCGGCGAATACACAAACCTGCGAGACATAGCCTGGTGAGCGTGAACGCGCATGACGTCACGCCCAGTCTCAAATTCGAGCCCGAATCCCTCTTATATATTTTACTGTACAGGATTATAGAGGCAATCTCAGTGCGCAGAGAAGGGCTCATTCAGCCCATCAGGCAGTTCTTTAAGCATGTATAGGATAGAAAAACAGCTATTTTTAACATGAAAAGTTGTGCAATGCACCTTTAAATAAGTCTATCATTTTTAATTTGATTATGCTGTTTGCAAAGCTTCATGGGATTGTAGTTCTTTTTATCACTGAAGCCATTAAGTATAGTCTTGTACCTTTTGTATTTTTGTCTGATTCTTTTTTACAAATCAAAGCTTGTGATATTGTGATTCACCTCATAGCTGGCTGCCTCATTCATGGCCTATAACAACTTTTTCGAAATCCGTATGGGAGAAACTAATGGAAAAATGACTTCCGGAACCAAAGCTGCTGAACAAGTGTTGACCTGTTGCACTCTATAATGACTAAATTGCAGCACTTTTTCTTTGTATATTTGTAATTGTCAGGCATCTTGCTTCAGGAGGAGAAGATCAACTCTATCTTCCTACTGTATCTGATGTCCATCCCCAGCTTCTGCATCCTGGCCATAGCCGCTCTGGTTCTGGAGAACTGGGCAGCGATGCAGTCCCCTCTCCAGTATGACCGTCACCTCTGGGGTTTCATCTTGCTCAGCTGTCTGGGTTCAGTGCTCTACAACCTGGCCAGCTGCTGTGTCATCACCCTGACCTCCGCTGTCACGCTGCACATCCTGGGAAACCTGAACGTGGTGGGGAACCTGCTGCTCTCCCAGCTGCTGTTTGGCCACCAGCTGACGGCTCTTAGCTGTGCTGGAGCGGCCCTCACCCTCTCGGGCATGATCATCTACCAGAACTCGGAGATCATCGTAGCTTTCTTCGACGCACGGAAGGCCAGGACACCAACCAGTGACAGTGGAGAGGAGAATGACTCAACCGCAGAAGCGGCTCAAGAACCCAACGAGAGGACAGAGGATCACGAGAAAACAGACTGAAGAGACGCGACAACGGCTGTGTTCCAAAACCTAGTGAGTTGCAGTGCTGTCTGTAGTCAAACTCTGGACTTTTTTTGTGCAGAGCACAAAAGGAGTACAATGAAAGTGAAAGGTGACCACAGATTTCTCTGGTTCCCAACCACTTTCATTAGATGGACCAGAGTTCTAATAGGCAACTAAAGCAGAAACTAAAACTAAAAACGTTATTTGAAGTTGGAATAAAATAAAAATATTAAAAAACCTAAACTTTTTTTTTTTTTTACATTTCTCATTTTAATTTAATTTGATGTATTGATATAAAACGAATAAAAACTACATAGACAAATAAAAAAACTACTATTTTTGACACAAACAACAAAATTACAACTTCATCTAAACTTTAACATATAGCTAAAACTTAAATAAAATTCAAGTGCCCCTATTATGCTTTTTTGGATATCGCCAAACTATGTAATATGTTCTGTTAAATATCTTTTTGTGTTCTACAGAAGAAAGATTGCCATACAGGTTTGTCACCTCATGAAAGTAGTTCATTTTGTGTGAGCTATCGTTTTAACGGAAATTGGCCCTCATATTAAGTGACCAATTTGGACCTCTTTACACAGGCAAAAACTTATAGTACAGATAGTGCTCCTCACTCACAGGACACTCACCTCAAGTGATTTTAAATTATACTTCAGTGTTGACGTGAACGCTAGCGTACGTGTATAGCCGAACGCATGGCCCCTCAAATGATACTTTATTTGATACTGTGCGTGTGCGCCAACAGAGGCGCTCAACACGCACACTAGAAAGTGTACTGTACGTATAACCTAGCATACACATAAAAACCGAAGTATAGTTTGGGTTTAGAAAGAATTTGATGTTAGCATGTTGCTAAGCTAACACGGCGATTCTCTAATAAGCATAAAAAAAATACATAGCACACAAATATTGGATAGTCTATTATAATGAGACGGAACTATTTTATTGATACTTTTCACTACTGAATGAATTTGGAGTATATTTCTATTCAATTTTTGTTTGAATATCGACAATTCACTAGGTTTTGGAACTGAACACTAAGCGTCATCCTGCGTTATCTGGGTGAATATGGAGTCTGATAAGATGCGAGGTATCCTGGTCGGCGATGATGACGATGATATTGGAGGTGTAGTTTCCCCCAGTACCTCCTCACTGTGCCAATACTTTTATTTCAGTCACTCTTCCAATGGAGACAGACTTTAGCAGATGCCGACCGCAACCATTTGTTTGGATTTTATTACCTCTGTTTTGCCAACACGTTCGTAAGAACTTCTGCATGAGCATCAGGAAGATCTCCAAAATCCTGCCATATTCATTCTGTGACTGTGTCTATCTAATGCACTGTGAAAAACAACTGCTCGATTTGCTCTGACCCTCTTTATTGGGCAGCACAGCTGTTTTTGGACTTGTTCGCACTTTTTAAATATTAGAGATGGGCACAAAGAAATACATTGAAATAATGTATTTTTAGATACTGTAACTCCGCCGTCTTGATTCTGGTGATACAGACGGTACATTTAAGGCAGCTTTCTGTAGGATGCCATGTTTGAACGAGTATCCTATGTTCATCTAGGTTACGTTTACATGATGGAGACGAGCAAGACTCCTGGATCCTCCTGTGGGTTCACTTTTATTTAGCCTGGTGCACTTTTCCTTTCAGAAAATTGGTTGGTTGCACTTTATTTTAAGGTGATGTAGTTACATCGTACTCAAATAAGTACTGGGTAATATTAACTACATATACTTATTAAAGAGTTAGGATTTGGGTTTGGTTTAGGGTTAGTTACTATAAGTACATGTAGTAACGTGTAACTACGTCACCTGAAAATGTATACCTCTCTGTGTTATAGAAAAGATCTAGTAGAAATAAGCTCACAAGTAAGATTCCTAAGTCATATTTCACCACAAAATCATTTGCAGATATTTTTTTATTATTATTGCCGCCTTATCTCATTACCGCAATTCATCTGAATGTTTTTCTTTTGAGTTTTATAATTGCCATTATTCTCATTGAGGCTTCACTACTGTAATATACAACAAATATTATTATTATAATTATAAATACTGTACAATTTTAATAATATATCATTTATTGCATAACGGAAATGATTTCCACACTACAGTAATGAGAATTGGAGGATTAAGTGAAAAAAATGTATTATAATTGTATTGAAATCAGCATAAATGAAAGATCTACTATTACATTTATACTATAATGTGTATGCAACTTAATTTAATTAAAATATATCATAATTAATGACATTGAGAATTATAAAGGAACTTCAGCATTACGCTACTAAGTAGAGAGGAAATGTGCTTGAAAATGTGTCATGAAAATAATGTCGCAAATCAAAACATAAACATATGCTTCATTTTATTTATGCAAAATATAATGTCATAAGGTTTTCTTTTGCTTTTGGAGTGATGCACGACCTGGACGTGTTCCTGACAGGCTTGGGTGAGATTCACCCGAAGTATCAGTTGAGAAAATTGGCTGTTTTTCTTATGTAATAATATAAATGTGATTGTCCCATCATAGGCAGGGAGGTATAAACTGGTGCCTCTTATGTAATTCCCAGTGCAGATAATTATTAATAGGTCTCTCTAAGGAGTCTCATTCATCTTTAGCACACTATGATCTCTCAGGAGAAATCAAAATGATATGTTGTCCTCCACAAAAGGTTCCCTTGCTCTTGCTCGTCTCCTCTGATCTTTTTTCACTATAGTTTCTTTGATTTGTTTTATTGTTTTTGTGACACCTGCTGGACAGTATTATTTCCCCTCCTATTTGAATTGTGTGTTTTGAAGCTGTCATAAGAAATTGACACTAACAGATGTTATGCATGGTGCATAGCAAGGTCATTCCCTCGAAGAGGTTTTGTGCCATCTGCTGGATAGAAAGCGGATTAGCATTTATTAATATTACTATATTTTTTTTATAACTGAATTGAAGTGCATTGGATCCAAATATCAGGCAGTTTGCCTGTTTCCCAACATGACGGGAATTCATAGTTGGGGTTTAATATATTCTCATAAAAACTGACTCTACCCATTTTTGGTTCTTCGAATTGAGTAACTGGAAATGTACAAGGATGTGAATGTCTCCTAGCGGATGTTGAGGTGTAGGCAGTCTTATGGACATGATCAAATCCATGATAAAACCTACACTAACTCGAGTGTGCCTACCTGAGGGCTGTTTTCATAAGGAAACACCAGCCTTTCAAGCTTTATTTATTAAGGTCTCAACTGTCCATCCATTCTTTAGTGTGTTCACTCATAACTTTATTTCTAGTGAACAGCATCATAGGATAAGCATGGTACTAAGAGACTAAAAGAGTGTCTAAGATATATCAGCATTCGTTTTGACAAATGTTAAACTTTTTTTTTTTTTTTGGCTGTTATATGTTACTAAGGGTGGCACAAGGGGGCGCTAACACTATTATTCGGCTATGCTTGCACGGTTATCGGTTACCTTTGCCGATCATTTCAAAATCGCCCATTAAACGGTCTAGCTGATACATAAGTCTATAGTTTTGCGATTTTGCAATTGGGAATTTTGTGTGAAGTGTGAAAGATTTTCATGCTAATTTACTGTGTTGACCAACAGAAATCTGCTTGTTTTGAAAAATTTATTTCTATGTGAGCGATGCTTCATATATCGCTACACTATTGATAACGGGCAATGACCTTTGTCTGAAAAATTTCACTGAAATTTCACTAGTATGACCGAGCCTTATTAGTGAAAGCGACAGCGTATTCACATAATGTTCATCCAGTCTCTCTGTACCACAAGCACAGTGGTTAACTTACCACACTTAGTCTAAAATGATCCACAGAACAGGTTGTCAGATAAATACCTCAGATGTTATTGTTTGTTCCTGTGATGACGTTTTACTGGGTCACTAGTGTACTGGATGATGTTTTCAATGCTGAGATCTCTTAACATAGAGTGGTACTGACGGTTTTGATGTGTCTTTTATTGGTTGCAATGCAAAATTGCGCTGACGATTTGCATAACTCTGTGGCTCCTGTGTATATATGGTTTCTGATGTCAGCAAAATATCAGATGTATGCTTATTTTATTATATTTATGTATTTTACAATCATGGAAAGCTGGACAAATACACCGGTTCAAAAACACGCTGTCTGATGTCTCTTTTTCTCATGTCTCATGCTATCTTACATTTTAGTATGTCACATTTTTGTGTTTGCTATTTTTTTTTTGTTCATATCAATATACTAGTTAAAACTAGCAGTGTTTTGCTAAACATGTTAAAAATATGAAAGCGGCATGCTAACAACAGTTAATACATGCTAATTGTCTTAAAACATGCTAACAACCTGTTAATGCTAGCAAGGTGTTGAAACATGCTCTGACATTTGTTTTCCTGTCTTCATCTGACGTTCTGTCTATCTGACAATAAATCATTAAAGTCTCAAGCTTTTAAAGCTATTTCATGATTTCAGGCCAGGCTTTGTCAAGTCAACATCATCAAACTTCATCTAACTTTCATTTGTTCCTTTCAAAACCAGCGTTACTGTGTGAAACTTACAATGGAAGTGAATGGGGCCAATTTGGAAACATTAACATCCTCACTTTTTGTTTCCATAATGTAGCCACAAGATGTAAACAATATGCATGTTCCCATGATTTAGTGTGGGAAAAAACCCTTTTCTGTGTAAAGTTCTTTAATGTGCAACTTTGTTGATGTGACAACATAACACTGTAAACCCCAAAAAACACAAGTTTTAACGGAAGAATTAATAAAAGTGCTTTTATAAAATAATAAGCTTCACATGACATGTCTCTATTTAAATTGGCTCTATTTACTTACCACTGTAAGTGCCTCAACCCAACCTTAATTTTCGTATTTTTAAAGAAAAGAAGCGGTGCGTCTTAATTCTTTTTTTAGGTAAAATTAACAATGCCACAAATGCTGGCGATTGAGCTTAACTTGTATTGTACCTTGTTTTTTCACCTAGATGATGATAAAACAGTTCAAATGTCTTCGATGTATGTTGAAGGAGGACGTCTAAAAGACCAAAATATCTTAGAGAGTTGAGTCCGCAAACAACCACAGAATACCTTAGAAATCAGAAAGCAACATGCTAACTACCATTCAGAGCACCATTACAAACGCATAACAATGACCTGGTAACAGCACACCATGCAACATGGTTCTCAGTTTAGCAAAACTAGCATTTTCTCCATGTTGAATGTTATGAAACATATCATTATACGTGTCTTTTATGACTTTGTCACTATAACTGGGCCACTTTTGTATAATTAATATGCCACATTAGTAAACGACTCACTGGACATCCAGTCTAAGCCTAGCCAAGGTTTCCTTCACCCTCACTGTTTCCACATGTCATGCTAGCTCACTTCGGCCAGCAAATGATTACGATAACCATCGGCCACCACTAGGTGGAGCCAAACACTCCTCCATTAAACACACAGAACGCCTCCATCAAAGTCATGCTGTAATGGAGTGTGAAAATGTTTATGTGCCAGTGACATTTCTGGTCTCAGCTTTTGCAGATCAACACTGCGACGTGGAAATGTTTACGTCTGCAGAGGAGAAACGGATGTGTCCGACCTGTGTAAACATGGAGCCGCTTCAACGCAACATCATTCTTGTTATGCCTTAATAAGGCAGTGTTCTCCGTCTGTCCACTCATTCACGGTTTAGTCCTGCGTAGAGCCAGGCCACATGCTTATGCAATCACTGTCATCATAAAGCATGCCGGGTGAGCACCATTTATCTCAACGTTTCCTTTCCTCTGGTTTTCAAACATATAAAAACCCTGATACCACTTTTTAAGTGACAGTGTTTAGATAAAATGATGACGCATTGTTATCTCCCAAGTAGTAGATACGCCAAAGCTGACAGTATAGGGAAAGATCAGAACAAGCAGTGCCAAAATATGTCACTAATACTTAATGTCCCGTTCTACTGATTCCACGTTTTTCCTGGTCCCTTCAGGAGAGGGTGATGAGGGTCGGGGTGGGAGTGGCTCACGGTGGCTCTGAAAAACTCACTCACTCACTCCAGCATCAGAGTTGAGTTGAGTGTATGTGACCTTTCTAAATCAGACCGCAAGACCTTTCCTCTGGACAGCCGCAGCGAGAGATTGGTGAGCTTCGTCTTAATGCTTCTTATTTTGCCAGATTTTAGGAGAATTTTCACTTTTGTTGTTTTTCTGATGTATTGCCATTTATCTTTCAGTTCAATGATTGTGTGATTACATAACAGCTATTACACCAGTGTAAGAGTGAATTGTTATTGAGCGGTTATATAAATTCCACCAAACATTATTATGTGTTATTAGGGTAAAACTGTATTATGGCTTCCAGAAACAATATGACCCATTCTGCTAGCTTCAGCCCACACATTATTCCCAACACATGCTGACATTACAGCAGCAAAGAGCATCTGGACACTTGAGGCATCTGACTCATTGACTTTTAATTAAGGGGTCAACACAGGTGTCCTATTCGAGTAACTATTTAGTTTATAACATTGTCTGTGAGCGCCGTGATCCACTAGAGTTTGACAACTATGGAGCCCCTAAAGGGACATGGTGATGGGGGAAAATATGAAATTATATTTAATGCCTTTGTGTTTGCTTGTAAATCTTTTTATTTTGATGGTCGGCTTTAGATATTCAACTGACTAGTAACTTTGCAACTACATGTCAGCTACCAGATATTAGAGTATTAGTAGACTGTCGGCTTAATATATGCTAACACTTTATTTTGATGGTCCCACCACAGAATTTCTACTAACTAAACATAACTTTGCAACTACATGACAACTTATTCTACTTGAACACCTAACCTAACAGTCTACTAATACTCTAATGAGAGTTAGTTGACATGTAGTTGGCAAGTTACTTATTAATAAAATGTCTAAAGTGGACCATCCAAGTTTATCCAGCTTTTGTGTTCCCTCACAAAACTTTGCGTTCACTTAAAAAAGAATGCAAAACTGGTAATAGATATTAAGGTGGAAAGAAAACCTATAGGTCAATGCCTTTGCTAGAGAACATATCATTTTTGTGACCGCATGCAAAGTATCTTAGGGAAACGCAAAACTTTTGTGAGCAAACACAAAACTGCTGCTATATGAGGTTGAAGGAAAATATATTTTTAATGCTTTTGTTAGTGAATGCAAAGTTTCTTGGGGGAACTCAATAATTTTAGAGAATAACTTGTGGGAACGCGAGAAATATAATTTGAAAAGCAATGAAATATAATGTTCCTCCTATTTCATATTTTTTTCAATAACCATGTTCTTAAGAGTTCTCCGTAGACCCAAATACTTCATTTTAAACAGTATATGTATTGTTTTATCATTAAAACCTAAGAATTTCTCTTTTTTGCTTAAAAAGTGCACTTGTACTATCTTTCTTTAAAATAAATGCCTCTTAGTTTGATATTTTCTATCTAATCTTAGTCTTAAAGATAGGGATGCACCGATATCAACATTTCTGGCCGATACCGATAATACTTTATATTTGATTACAATAATCTTGTAAATATTTGTGTCTAAAATCCAATTTTACAAAAACAAAAGCCTCACCATTAAAAGGCATGTCCCAAACACACAAATATGTTTTCATTATATTTTTTTGTATCCTATATGACAGACTTGTGCTGCACTTGTTGCACTTACATAATACTATATTTTCCTTTTTTGAAGTGATTTCAATCATATTGCAAGCATGGCTAACAGTGCGCATCTGAAGTGTCTCAGCTAAAGGAAATAATCCATTATCTATCGGCCAAATTTACTTTTAGCGGTAACATTAAAAACGAACATATATCGGCCGATACCGATATGGTGGCCGATATATCATGCATCCATCCCTACTTAAAGAGATACTGTAGTTCAGGCAGAAATTAAGATTCTGTCATCATTTACTCACCCTCAGGCTCTGCCAAACCTGCATGACTTACTTTCTTCTGTAGAGCACACACACAAACCCACACACACACCCACACACACACACAAAAGATATTTTAAAAAAGGTCTTTCTTTTGTTTGTTTGTTTGTTTTTTTCATTCAGTGAAACCACAGGAAATGGATAAGAAATAGTTTTCATTCTTCAAAATATCTTCTTTCCAGAAGAAAGAAAGTCATACAAGTTTGGATCGACATGAAAATGATGACAGAATGTCCATCCCTGTAAATAGTCTCCACTCATAATAAATCTCTTTGTTTGTGTTCGGGTCCCAGTTGGTTTACAGGAAGAAGGTGCGGGAGATATCCTAAGCTACTGCATGGTCAATGTCAGCGCCGACCAACATGGTTTTTGTTTATGTTGAGATGAATGTTTGGATTTTTGCCGTTTAAATGTCCTTTTCCATTTATATGGATGTACACAGTCATCATTATGTGTGGCTGGAAGCAGCGTGACATTTAATCTGTGAGAAAACAATCACGCTAAATTTATTTTATTAACGAAACCTGTTTGTTCAGAAGCCGCTCAAACCCTTTGGCTGTGACAGTTACATCAGCGTTTAGTAGCTACAGACTATCTTACTAGCATCTTGGGGTGTCTTAAATGAATATCCCTGTACTAGAAGTTCTCACACAAAGCTTTCAGTTAGAACATCTCTCCCTCATTTTTCCTTTCCATAAACGTACTCCCTCATTCCCACGCACACATGGAGATTTACACATCTCGTAAGCTGGCTCCATCAACACCTCCTGTTCCTCCTTCTGTCCCAGCTGTCACTAAAGATGGAGGGGGAGAAGGGAACATTAGAGGCAGGTATCAAAGAGCAACCTGAACCTGATATGACGGGTCCACTGACAGTCGAACAGCTGGCAGCTATAGAGGATGAAGAGATCCTCAATAATATGGTAAGAGGCAACAATAGGCGCTACAAGTGGAGCGGGGTTGTTATCGTGGTTTGTCTTGACCATATTTAGGAAAGTGTGTTTCCCTTTTGTTTATTGCATGGAATAGCTAGATAAGGCTGTGGATTTCGAGGAGAGGAAAATGATCCGGGCTGCCATGAGAGAGCTGCTCAAGAGAAAGAGGGGTGAGGATTGGGTCATGTCCCTAATGCCACATATATTCAATCAATATATATATGACTCAAACATTTTGTTAAGTCTAACTTGATTCCCGACATGCTTTTTGGTGAATCTCAAAACCTGTCAAGAATCTGGTTCACAATCAAAAGGAAAAAAAGAAAGAAAATGAAGCATTTTTTTTGTGACATTATCTTAAGCATAATTCATGGTTTGCGCTGCTGTCTTTAGTATTTATGGTAATTAATAATAAGTGGGGGAAAGCATCTGGACAGGGTTATTCTCATTGTATCATTGCGATTTTTTTTTTTGCATTGTAATAATGACAATTTTGGGTGGAAATGTGATAAAATGTCATGAAAATAAAAAAAAGTTGGGGTTTTAAGGATTTTATATTGTTGTATTATACAATATTCTCATATCGTAATAAATCTAGACAATCCTCATCATTCTCAGTGTTATTATCTTAATCTCATTATCAATAACATATTCATTATTATCAGCATTATGATACTGTTAAAATAAATTCACAATTAAAATCAGCATTAAGAAACAAGTCAGTAACAAATATGTAAAATAAAAAACTATTTTAATGATATATGATGATACATAAAATAAGATTTTTTTTCTGTACAGTTATAAGAATTATATTTTTTATTACAGTAATTTCAAAAGTGGACAGAGGTCAAATGCCACAAAATAATGTAACAATGCAAAACATCTATTCTAATTGTTATTAATTAAATTCTTCTTATAATTTCTTATTTATATTTAAATTAATCTTATAAGCTACCTTTCAAAAGTCTGTAAATTATTTTTAATCTTTTTGAAAGAAGTCTCTTTCACCAAGGCCTCATTTATTTGATTAAATAATACAGTAAAGAACTGTAATATTATTGTGAAATATTATCACAATTTAAAACTGTAAAAAATTTAAAATAACTGTTTTCTATTTTAATATATTTTCAAATGTAATTGATTCCTGTGATCAAAGCTGTATTTTCAGCATCATTACTCCAGTCTTCAGTGTCACATGATCCTTCAGAAATCACTCTAATATGATGATTTGATGCTCAAGAAACATTAGGGATGCACCGATATGAACATTTTGGCCGATATTACCGATAACCGATAATTATTTATATTTGAAAGCTGATGGCCGATATATTGGCCGATAAATCTAAATCTAAATTTTTATATAAACTTTGAGAGCCTGGTTACAAAAACATAAATCTCACCATTAAAAGCCATGTCCCAAGCACACAATTATAACGTTCTCATTATAATTTTATGTAGCTTATATGACAGACTGCTGATTATCTGCTGCACATTTTGCACTTAATTGTATTTTCCTTTTTTGAAGTGATTTCAATCATATTTCAAGCATTTCAAGACCATCATGGCGAACAGTGTGCATTTGAAGTGTCTCAGCTGAAGGAAATAATCCATTATTTATCGGCTTTAAGATATCAGCCTAATTTTCTTATTGGGCCGATAACGGTAACATTATAAATGATCATATCGCGGATCCCTGAAACATTCAATATTATCAATGTTGAAAACAGTTGTGCTGCTTTATATTTTTGTGGAAACGTGATCATTTTTTTTTTCAGGATTCTTTGATGAATAGAAAGTTTAAAACCAGATTTATTTGCATTATAAATCTTTTGTAACATTTTCACTTTTGATTAATGCATCCATGCTCAATAAAAGTATTAATTTCTTTTAAAATAAAACATTTACTGACCTCAAACTTTTTGAACAGTATTGTGATAAATATAGACATGTTCTTGACAGGTTTCATGAGATTTAAGAGTCATTACTATTACACAAACAACCACAGGAAGTAAACTCAATAGAATAAACCACTACTAGTATTTGTTTAACTTTTCTATTCAGAATGAAAAACACAATAGTTTGTTTATTCTTTTTTGCGAGTGAAAAATGTCCTCCTCTCGTCTCTGTCTCTCTCAGAACGGCGTGATAGGGAGCGGGCGGCCCGGATGGAGAACCTGCGTCAGCAGGGTAGCGGAGGCAAGACAGCTGCTGGACTGAATAAGGACCAGAAAGCCACTAATAACCCGAGCGGCGCTCAGTTCAACGCACACAGTGAGTAACCATTACTCTTGAGGATCTGAACACTATGTACGTTTACTGCAGTTCTTCTAACTGCAAGGCTTTGATAACCTCCCCTTTCTCTTTTTACTTCAATCCGGCACAGAGACGGCTCAGGCAAAAACATTTTCAACACCAACCTCCACAAAAACTGTGAGCAGGTGAGTCATTCCTAGAGGCCTGACAGGATGACAGGGATGAATCCCATCGTCTGACTGTTTTATTTTTTCTCCTAAAGCCCTGCTCAATCCCATGTGGCCAGGGATAAAAAAGTGTCGGGCGGCTCGGCAGTCGGGGGGCCAAACACTAAAGATGTCAAACAGATGCTGCTGGACTGGTGTCGTGTCAAGACTGAACCGTATGAGGTGGGCCTGAAGAGAGCAAATAAGATCAAATTAAACAGTTTCTGTTTTGCTACATTTCTCTGGCTCTGCAACCCTCCCAGTGAATCTCATGGAAACATGTCCAGATTACATTTCACCCCAAAATATTAAAAAAGTATTTAACATAAAGAAAATCAAACCTATTTTAAGGATTTCTTTTGCATTTTGATATTTTTATGACAATTTAGCACGTTTTCCCTCTCATTCTCATTACTGTAATGCCTACTATTTTTTTAATACCATATTTGTAAGACCGATTATGCTTAACGGTAATTCCCTTTTTTACTGTATTACTGCCAAAAATAATGTAATGGTTTTTTTTATTCACTTTTTAAAATCTAACTTAGCATATTGTTTTACAACTAATGCTTTATGTATAAATACTTTATATCTTTTTTATTTGCTTTATTACAATGGAAATAAGGAGGGTGGTGGGAAAACCCCAAAATAACCTTAAAGGTCCTGATATACTTCAAGCGTAATCGAAGAACAAACTGCTGTGATGTCATTTCGAACAAAGTTGGGCCAAAACGAAGTTCGTTTGGAATTCATTACAGGAGTTAACAGCTTGCCAAAGCAAACTTTCCAGAAAAGTGTGATCTGGCTGGTAAACACCTTTGAACTACCATTGGTCTGTGGTGATTATGTAATAGGAGAGCTGATTTACAGTAGAAATCCACTCCACTCACTCACACCGGCTCACAGATTCACTCGCCCGACTCTACTGTAGTAAACCCTGCACAATGGTATCGCTCTTTACAACGTCGGACACATAACGGTCATTTATACGAGTTGCCTTTTGCTTGACTATGTTATCAAACTGCTAATAATGTGTTGCTAATATTACACAAACTATATTCCCGTTCACCATCTCAGTCTGCCTTCTAACAATCATCAGAAACGCTTTGAACAACGCAGAACGTCAGTGGAGAAAGGCATATAGATCATCATTACATCGTAATATACATCATACACCCGCTATATTGCTAAATCTAGCCGATTTTTCATATCAACAAAAAGACTGTTTTGAGACTGTCTTTGCTCACTGCAGTTTTAAGGAGAATATATTCAGCAATGGTGTTGACATGAATTTGCACATGGTTTGACTTACAGCACATTAAAAACACTACATAGACATATCAACAACATTAAAAGCTGGATGTTCACCACAGGGGGACTTTAAAGCAATCTATTGTATAAAGTGCTAAATAAAAAAATGTGGTGACATGACTTGAGAACTGAATTGCAGAGCTCAGACAAACATCCACATCACTATGATCAGATGCTTTCTTAACTGTTTTTTTCTCACCACTGTCATTTTAGTTGTGTGTTTACTTTGTTATTGAGAGAAAAGCGCGCAACACTTACATAATCATTCATCTAAATGTGGGCGCCGTCAGGATGTTCAATAACAGTATACCACCTGTCACGTATTTCAAGCTTCTTTTTTCCCCAACACGAAGAATGAAAAAGAACTTTGCTCTGAGTATATCAGGGCCTTAATGGTCTTAAAAATAAGCTTAATTTTCTTTAAACAAAATATAATTTATAAAAAAACCTGTTCTGGACAGTTTTTTTTAGTTTTTTTATTCACACTCTTACTTGTTTCTATGTTTAGGGTGTGAAAATCCAAAATTTCTCCTCTAGCTGGGCAGACGGTCTGGCGTTTTGTGCCCTGGTGCACAGGTTTTTCCCGGAGGGCTTTGAATATTGCACTCTCGACCCCTACGATCGCAGGGCCAACTTTGAGAAGGCGTTCAAGACTGCAGAGTAAGACATGACTAATATTGCATCCTCATCTGCATCTCATGAAGAAATGTCTGAGTTATATGTCACCCGAAAAAGAACGCAATTTTAATCATCATATAAAATAATATAATACAAAATAAATATTATAATATTTACATAATTTATAACAATTTCCTAGTATTAATAATAGTAATATATTTCATTATTTTAATATAATTCATTTTATAATTATACTTAATAATTATATACTTAAATGATAATGTATTTAAAAACTTTTTTAATTACTTTTAATCTTTTTCTCATCCAGACATTTAAAAAAAATCAGCCAACATTAAAGACAGCACAACAATTTTATAATTTAATTGAAATAAAACATCAGTATTTATGGTAAAGAAAAATCCATGGTGGGAGGAGGAAATGTGCTTTTGTTAAGGTATTTTGTAGGGAAAATGTGCTCAAATCATGAAAATAATATACAAAAAATCATAATGTTCCTAAAATAGGCTTCATTTTCTTTATGTGTGTTTGTAGGAGACTAGCCGACTGTCCTCCCCTGCTGGACGTTGACGACTTGATGCGGATGCGAGAGCCCGACTGGAAGTGTGTGTACACGTATATCCAGGAGTTCTACCGCTGCCTAGTAGAGAAAGGCCTCGTCAAGACTAAAAAGAAGATGCCATAGAAACTTTTTTGAGCGTTTTCACTGTAAATGACCAAAGGGCCACAACAGGCACACAACATAGCGCACATGTGACCTAACCTGCAGCTTTTACCTAAGATCAGACAGATAGTCTATTATGTACTCATGCTCTTCTCTATTTCATAAAAGCACATGCAGTGGACGAGGATTATAACCTGCGTGTTTGGCACTAGGGTGCAGCTGGGGCTCTGAAACAGCGCATTCCAGTGAGATTACACATGCATTAATCTCAGTCTATGCTTAGAGATTGTGTGAAAGTGTGTGTGTGTGAGTGTGTGTGTATACGCAGAAGGCTTTTTATGGTACTGCTACTCCCGGTTTTGAACGCACTCCAGCACAGAGACATCAGGCTTATAAGGGCATGAGATCTAATGCACAATTATTCTTAACTCAGATAAATCGTTTGTTTAAAAATATAGACAGGGAACTTTTGCTATTATATAAACGAGTTCAGAAAGGACAACAGAGTCCAAAGCCTCAGAACTGTCTCTTTTGTCTCCTTCAGAATAGAAGTGTCACCTGATTTTGCTTATAGGGTGAAATATGACAGCTTGAATGGTTTTCATTTTCTCTCAACTTGTTCAGGATCAAAAGTGCATCATACTGAGCATTTGCTTGGTACTAGAAAATGACCCTAGAACTGCACTAAGAGGGATTAGGTCCAATAAAACCTCTCACTCAGGGATAGACAGGCACTCAAGGCCTGTAACATGCATGTAAGTCTTGTTTCAGAAGGCAAATGGTAATTTTGAAGTGCTTTTAAAATGTCCTCAACACTTTATTTGCTGCATGGCTAATGACTTAAGTGCACCATAAAAATATGACATTCTAATATAATAAAACATTATTTAAGTAGGCTATTATTAGTATCTTAAGTCATACAAGTACAGTTGCTGTCAATCTGTATCACTGTTCTGGTTTGATTAAATTATGGGTGTTATTTTCCTCCCACAGTGCATCACCAACTGTTTGCCAAGGATTATTAAATGTGATATTCTTCCCCGTGCTTTTTTTTTCTCTTTACTAACACGCACACACACACACACACACACACACACACACAATTTAATATATTATTGGATTTTAGTGATAAACCAAATAATACCACAAAACAGCACAAAATTAATCAAATCACTAGCTAATACATTGAGGACACAGAAAAATAAAACTATAAATTGATTACTAATTAAAATACTATTCTCAGGAAAATGTGTTGCACAGGTAGAAATGTGTTCAAAAAATATTAAATATTTCTTAATAAATTGTCAGTTCCCTATCAGTCGCTCAAGTTCGACGTTACGTCGACGTAATTGGGATACCTTCAGGGAGCCCTATAATCTTCGAGTGTCTACAGAATGAGCCAATAAACGTTGGCGTGCGTGAATCGCGTCACGCGCCCCGCCCCACAGCGCGGGTATAAACCGGAAACGGGTGCACGCCCTCATTGTCTTTCACTTCGGAGCCGAGCTTCTGTTTGACTTCAGATCTACAAGACTCTAATAACGTTGAAGACTCTCCTTCAGTGTTGGTGACGGCGCGATCAGTGGTGGCCGCGAGCATTACAGTTCACAACTGCTGTTTTCACAGCACTGCATTGTGTGTGTGTGTCGGTTTCGATGGGTGTTCATACTGAGTGTGTAAACCTCGTTACACCGCGGCTATCCCTGGGTGCCTCAGCACTGAAAGAAGTTTTTATTCTGTTTTTTGTTTTCTTCTAAAAGAGCAACACTTTTCAACACATTTCAGGATGTCATTCCGCCTGTGTGTTTCTGGATGCGGTCGTTCCCAGGCGCCAGCAGATGGCCACAACAGTTGCCTCTCGTGTTTGGGCATTCAGCACGCTGAGGGCAGCTTTTGTGAATAGCTCATGTTCCCATTGTGGGAATATGACTATGGCAGCGTTGAGATCGGGACTCGCTTACCTCAAGGGAGGTGCAGTCCCCTCGCCTATGCCCCAATCTAGTGCTTATTCTGGACCTCAGAATAGGCCTACTTCGGTGCTTAGCCAGGGTGATCTGAGGGTTACCGTGAGGGCTTCCCCGCCGAGGCAATCTCCGTGGGCCCCTCACGCCTCACTAACACTGCCGCAGACGGAGCCTCCAGAAGAGCGTGCAGGTCCTTCACATGGATGACCAGTCGTGTCTTTTGGAGCTCCTCCTGACGACCAGATGTTGGTTGCAGCATCGGAGGGGGAGCTTCAGTCCTCTGGAGATGAGGATTCGGCTGCATTACCCCCTTCGGGGAGTGTAGCGTTGCCCGAGTCCCATCCAGAATGGGCGGCTATGCTTTGCCGGGCCCCCGAAAAGGTCGGGCTTGCGTGGAATCCTCCACCACGTCCCAAACCTTCTTGGTTGGATGATTGGTTTCTCGGGACGGGCCTTGCTGGTTCTCAGCGCGCCGCTCCGGTGCCATTCTTCCCGGAGGAGCATGAGGAGCTCACCAGGACGTGGACGGCACCGTATAGTGCCAGAAGCCGTCCTAGTGGCTCCTCCCTCCTCATCACCCTCAATGGCGGAGCGGCTAAGGGGTATGTGGATGTCCCACCAGTGGGACCACCGCAAGCAGCCATCACCCAGGCCTCAGCATGGAGCAAGCCGCAGGAAGTCGGCTCCGCCCGTCCAAGCCGCTGCCAAACCAGGAGGCAAGCGGAGGTGCAAACGACCCTGAGACGGGCGACCCAGAGGTGGAACAGACTGCTCTTCAGGAGATGGTGAATCAATTCATCCCCAAGATTGGTTTGCAGCGATTGGCCTGAAGGACGTGTACTTTCATGTCTCGATTCTCCCACGACACAGACCGTTTCTTCGCTTTGCATTCAAGGGGCGGGCATATCAGAACAAAGTCTTACCCTTCGGGCTGGCCCTGTCGCCCTGTGTCTTCACGAAAGTCACGGAGGCGGCCATTGCTCCCATGTGCGAGCGTGGTGTTCGTATCCTCAACTACCTCGACGACTGGCTTATCCTGGCCCAGTCGAGAGAGCAGTTGTGCGAACACAGGGACATGGTGCTCAGTCACCTCAACCACCTAGGACAACCACCTAGGGAAAAGAGCAAACTCACCCCCGGGCAGAGAATCTCTTTTAAAGGTATGGAGTTGGACTCGATCAACATGACAGCGCCCGTATCCAGTCAGTGTTGAACTGCATGAGCTCGCTCAGACCCAGAACAACGGCACCACTAAAACTTTTTTTTCAGAGGCTCCTGGGGCAAATGGTATCTGCAGGATTGCTTCATATGAGGCCGCTCCAACACTGGCTCCACGATCAAGTCCCGAGATGGGCGTGGCAGAGCGGCTCGTGCCGGGTCCAAATTACCCCGCACTGTCGACAAACTCTCAGCTTCGGACTCTTTGTTCTTGCGGGCAGGTGTTCCCCTAGAACAAGTGTCCAGGCACTCTGTGGTCACCACGGTTGCCTCACGGATTACGGGCTTGCTCAACCATGCAGCCGACGAGCTTTCACGGCAGCAGGTGCTACCGGGAGAATGGTGACTCCACCCCCAGGTGGTCCAGCTGATTTGGAGACGCTTGGGGACCGCACAGGTAGATCTGTTTGCCGCCCCAAACACGTTGCACTGCTACACGTTGCACTGACCGAGGGGACCCTCGGCTCGGACGCACTGGCATACAGCTGGCCCCAGGGCCTACGCAAGTATGCGTTTCCCCCACTGAGCCTTCTTGCACAGACCCTGTGCAAAGTCAGGGAGGACGAGGAGCAGGACTTGCTTGTTGCGCCGTATTGGCCCAACCGGACCTGGTTCCCGGAACTAGTGCTCCTCGCAACAGCTCCACCCTGGCCCATTTCTCTGAGAGAGGACCTGCTCCAACACTGTGGCTTTCCCTTGGCAGAGTACGCTTTGCCGTCACTGTCCGGTGTTGCCTCCCCCTTCTCAGGCTGGAGCCACCCCAGTGACATTCCACATGTTGCACTGCCCCTAACCGGCCATTCCATATGTGCATTCTCCACATGGTACCTCCCTTTGGGCAGGATGTGGCTTCCGCAGCGTCCCTCTCCCCTGGAAAGGCACGCTTTCCCAGTGTTATCCAAGAGTTCCACTGTGTGGGGTATAAAGTAACAGCAGTTTGAACTCCCTATATGCAGGCCTTCCGCCCCAGTCAGTTGGGGATCTGAGAGTCTTGCGTAGGGCACTGGATGTGGCAGCAACTGTGGTGTTTTCCATAGGGATCCCAATTACGTCGTCATGTCGACATAATGTCGAACGTGAGCGACTGATAGGGAATGTCTCGGTTACCAATGTAACCCTCGTTCCTTGAAGGAGGGAATGGGAGATGTTACGTCCCATCGCCACTGTTGCTGACCATTGCTGTAACGGCTGTCACGATCTCGGCTCCTCAGTGAAAAACAATGAGTCCGTGCGCACGCTTCCTGTTTCTACCCGCGCTGCGAGGTGGGGCTCGTGACGCAATTCACGCACGCCAACGTTCATTGGCTCGTTCTGTAGACACTCAGGGGGCTTTTACACTGGGCTTGTTTGCTGCGGTCCGAGCCCGAGCGCGTTTGTTCCCGGCGCCCCCCGCAGCGTTGGTCTGGTTTCACACTCAACTTGATTCTATCGAACCTTGGTGCGTTTGCGTGCATATTACGTTATCGCAAACGTGCACGGCGCATGATAGAAAACAGAACGCGGGGCAATATTGTTTTTTTTATTAATTCGCTGCTATTATGCGCAGTTGAGTGAACAATGCAGGTTTACTGTGCGTCTGTCACATAAGGTGGCCTTCTGCTGCTTGCAAACGGACTCTTTTAAGGAGACAGTGCATTTCCAAATTTGGTGCCCTGATTTCACGCGCAATGCACGAATACACTGCAGGCTCACTCTCGCTCATTTCCAAGGTAAATCATCAACACTATCATCCCTTACAAGTGTTTTATTTAACTGAATACACCACAATAAGCTAAAACGCATACGCAGGTCACTTTACTTCCTGAACAAGTGCACACCCGAGTCCGTGCTGCTTTCACATTCACGCGAACCGCGGCACGGTTCGGGAGCAACCGAACTCAGACCACCTCCTCCAGGTAGTCTCGGGTTCGGTACCCCAGTGCGCACATGGGTCCCCCCATGACAGCGTTCACATTAGCGATTTTTCATGCGAACCGTGCCCCGTTCCGAACTAAACTGCCAGTGTGAAAGCCCCCTCAAAGATGATAGGGCTCCCTGAAGTGATCCCAATTATGTCATCACGTCAATGTAACGTCTCCCGTTCCCTCCTTCAGGGAACGAGGGTTGCATTAGTAACTGAGGCCTTTTTCTGAGTTGCGAATTCAGTGCAGCACCCAATGACATGATCCACTCAATATCCACTCAAGTAAAAGTCATGAAATTACTTCAAAATCCATTTCTATGTTCAGAAAATAATAATGTTGTGGTAAAAGAAAACTAATCCCTGGTGGAAAAAAAAAATGCTAAGTATACTTGCACCCAGACTAATTTAGTATACTTCAAGTGTGTTAATGATTAGTTAACTTGAAGTGTGCTATTTTGAAACAACTAATTTTGAAATAAGTATATTTTAGTTGTAGTTAAATTGTAGAAAAGCATAACTTTAAGTGTATTTAGTGTACTAAATTGGAACAACTTCAAGTATACTTAGTATACTTTAAGTATATGCCTGTGTAGGGACTAATTACATGCTTGATTAGTGATATTAAAGTGTACTTTATTTGTGTAACAAGTACATTACAAATTAATTACGAGTGACTTCGAAACAGAAAAGCAATATACCATAAGTGTGTGTATATATATATTTTTTTTTTTTTAGATTTAGTTTTGGCGTTTTTGTCTTTTATCAGGATAGGACAGTAGCTAGACAGGAAGTGAGGTGGGAGAGAGAGAGAGAGAGAGGGGGGACGGGATCGGGAAAGGTCCACGAGCCAGGACTTGAACTCGGGTCCCCCGAAGCACATGTGGGTGCACTTGCCCACGAGGTTATCGGCACCAACCACAAGTGTATAGATATAACAAATATAACAAATGCACATTAATA